GGTTCACAAACAGTAAAAACAGTAGAAACAGCAGTGGTTCCATACAACATATAACAATTGACTTAACACATTATCCATAAATTACCAATAAGCAATTACAATCCACAATTATTACAAAAAACAACCGTACCCAATCTTCTCATCATCCAAGCGTAGTCCAGGTTCGTCGTCCATTGTTCCATTCCTATGTTCCATTACCAGATTGCACTAAATTACTCAAACGCCTGCACAAACATCCAGGTCTTCACCTTTTTGCGGAATACCGTTAGAGATGGTGCTAGTCTAATGTCCGTAGGAAGGGCGTTCCACAGCCGAGGAGCCACCACCGAGAAGGCCCTATCTCTCGTCCCCGCCAGCCGAGCTTGAGAAGCAGGCGGGATCGAGAGCAGGGTCTCCCCGGAAGATCTCAAAGTCCTGGTGGGTTCATAGGCAGAGATGCAGTCAGATAGGTAGCTTGGGCCGGAACCGTTTAGGGCTTTAAAGGCCAACGCCAGCACTTTGAATTCAGCCCGGTAGCAGATCGGTAGCCAGTGGAGTTGGCGCAACAGGGGGGTTGTATGCTCCCTGCGCTCCGCTCCTGTTAAAATCATGGCTGCCGAGCGTTGGACTAGTTGGAGCTTCCGAGCTGTCTTCAAAGGCAACCCCACGTAGAGAGCGTTGCAGTAGTCTAAACGGGATGTAACCAGAGCGTGGACTACCGTAGCCAAGTCAGACTTCCCAAGGTACGGGCGCAGCTGGCGCACAAGCTTTAGCTGTGCAAATGCTCCCCTGGTCACCGCCGAAACCTGGTATTATTATTATTATTAGTATTATTATTACTAGTATTACAATGATATGTTCCAGGGTGGGCAAACCAGACACTCTCCACATCAACACTGACAAAGAAACAGCAAGAAATACTTTACCCACAAGCATAAAGAAATTACATATTAGAAACCAACTTTCTCATTACTTTATTTTCCAGATCACCAAGCTGGGCCACAGCACAATGAAACTTAAGCTTCCAAAATAACAATTACTATATACCAGGAGATTCTTCATAAGTACATGACGTCAGAAATAGTAACTCAAATATTGTTAAATGCAATATAATGAAATTTCAACTTCCAAAATAACAATTTCTATATTGTAGAAGGTTCTTCATCAATATATGACGTCAGGAACAGTAACACAACAAGGTCTCCCGGGTTGTTACCCTTGTTTCGTAATATCTTCTTCAGGTGTTATTCTTATCTATGATGCTTGAATTCACTAAATAAGAAATAAAGCAACATACAGACAATAGATATACTAAAATCCCCAAATTGACATAGTTTTGAAAAGGTTATTGATGCACACGCTTGACTACTTACATTCTAATTAGTAGCTATTGGTTCTGTTGTAAGTTCCTATCTGCATTTATAGTCTTTGGATCCACTAGATAGGAAATAGAACAATATATAAACAAAAAAATGCCCACATCAAAATCCATGTTAGTCTACTTACATTTCTGTGAACAGCCTAGGCTCTGTAGTGAGAGGAGTTCTGTAACGAGCAATTGCAGGCGAAACGTCAGGAGGAAATGCCTCTAGAACATAGCCATATAGTCCGGAAAACCTACAACAACCCAGTGATTCTGGCCATGAAAGCCTTCGACAATACAGCAATTATAATGGTAACAGGGTGACTCTTAAGTAAGGCTGAGTGTTACAGGAAGCAAGTGTAATCTATTCTATCATTAAGCCCTTGGTGGATAAGTGTTTGTAGTTTGAAAATCCAAAATGACTCTCTCTGTAACAAGTACCTTTTAACATCAGCATTAGGTTTAGGTGATACCTTCTCCAAAGCACAAAATTTAAAGCTATAGCAAGTATGTGCCTTTTCTTGAAAATGTGCATATAAAGAAGAGTCAGTGAACCCATTTCTTATGCGAGAGCGGTGTTCAATAATTCTGATTTTCAGGGGTCTGGTGGTCATCCCAACATATAGTAATTTGCATGGACATTGGAGTACGTAAACGATATTGTCCATGGAGCATGTAGTAAAATGCTGTAAAATGATGTGGAGGTTTAATGTGGGATGTGAGAACGTTTTGCCCTTCAAGGACTGAGAACAACAGTCACAATGGGCACAGCTAAAATGACCCTTAATAATCTGATTTTGAAGTGTGGTCGGAGAGTGGTATTCTGAATGAATCATAATGTCTCTTAAGTTTTTAGATCTTTTATGGGCAATTATGGGTGTGCTTTGGCATCCTGGGATGTCTTGTATTAGATGCCAGTGTTTAAAGATGATCTTTTTTATATCAGATGAGTATTGTGTTAAAGTTAGAGGCCAGATAATGCGATATGCTTTCTAGGTCTTTCTTGTAGTAGTACCTTCCTGTTAATGGAGTTAACCTTATCGATAGCTGTGTTCAGTATCCTATTGGGGTATCCTCTTTCTCGAAGTTGTGTTTTCAGAATATCTGCCGAAGAGTCAAAATCCTTTTGAGTGCTAGAATTACGTTTTAATCTTAAAAACTGTGAGTATGGTAAATTGGATTTCAGTGAAAACTGGAAAAATGTAGGATTGAATTTTTATCTGTCGGCTTGCTATAATTTTTCACTAGTAGTTTTTGTCCATTCTTGATGACCATAATGTCTAAAAAATTAATATTAGTATGACTACACTGGCTAGAAAATTTCATATGTTTGTGTAGTGTGTTAATCCAGGTGCAGAATTGGTCGGCTACGGATTGAGAACTAACTACTGTAAAGATATCATCAATATATCTTCCATAGTATATAAAAATTAGGTTAAGTTTTGGGATGTTTCAGGCTTGTTTTGGGGGTGTTTAGGGCTAGTTTTGTGCCTGAAGGGTTAGTTTTGGGGTGTTTCAGGCTTGTTTTGGGGATGTGTAGTTTTGTGCTGGAAGGGTTAAGTTTTGGGATATTTCAGGCTTGTTTTGGGGGTGTTTAGGGCCAGTTTTGTGCCTGAAGGGTTATTTTTGGGGTGTTTCAGGCTTGTTTTGGGGATGTTTAGGGCTAGTTTGTGCCTGAAGGGTTAGTTTTGGGGTGTTTCAGGCTTGTTTTGAGGATGTTTAGGGCTAGTTTTGTGCCTGAAGGGTTAGTTTTGGGGTGTTTCAGGCTTGTTTAGGGCTGTTTAGTTTTGTCCCTGAAGGGTTAGGTTTTGGGATTTGGGGCTTATTTGGGGGTGTCTAGGGTTAGTTTTAGGTCTGAAGGCCTGGTTTTGCGTCGTTACTATAGATTTTGGTTCTGAAGGACTTGGGGTATTTCAGGTTTGTTTTGGGGATGTTTAGGGCTAGTTTTGTGCCTGAAGGGTTAGTTTTGGGGTGTTTTGGGCTTCTTTTGGGGGTGCTTAGTTTTGTGCCCGAAGGGTTAAGTTTTGGGATGTTTCAGGTTTGTTTTGGGGGTGTTTAGGGCTAGTTTTGYGTCTGAAGGGTTAGTTTTGGGGTGTTTCAGGCTTGTTTTGTGGCTGTTTAGTTTTGTGCCCGAAGGGTTAAGTTTTGGAATGCTTCAGGCTTGTTTTGGGGATGTTTAGGRCTAGTTTTGTGCCTGAAGGGTTAGTTTTGGGGTGTTTCAGGCTTGTTTTGGGGGTGTTTAGGGCTAGTTTTGTGCCTGAAGGGTTAGTTTTGGGGTGTTTCAGRCTTGTTTTGGGGGTGTTTGTGRCTAGTTTTGTGTCCAAATGGTTGGTTTTGGGGTGTTTCAGGCTCATTTGGGGGATGTTTAGTTTTGTGCCCAAAGGGTTTAGTTTTGAGGTGCTCATTTTGGGGATGTTTAGAGTTAGTTTTGTTCCTGCAGGGTTAGTTTTGGGGTGTTTCAGGCTTGTTTTGGGGATATTTAGGGCAAGTTTTGTACCCGAAAGTTTCGTTTTGCGGTGTTTGCGGCTTGTTTTGGGATGTTTAGTTTTGTGCCTGAAGGATTTAGTTTTGGGGTGTTGCGGCTTTGTTTTGAGTCTGAAGGGCTTGGGTTGGGTCTTTATGTCTTTATTGGCAACAGCATCTGCTTCTGGATGATGCATCACATGTGTCTGTGTTTTGTGTTGCTTTTTGAGGGGGGGAAGCAATTGGGAACCTGACCGCAAGCTGTTTTTATTGCTTCCTCCTTCTCCCTTTCCCACTTTCCCCTCCCTCTTCTTCCCCCTCCATTGTGAAAAGCCAAGCCTGGAACAATGCAGATTTTTGGGGGGGGGGGGAGATGGAAGGGGGAAGCCTTTGGGTGGCTTCTGCAAAGGCTCCGAATGGGAATAACACAGCCTTCTCCTCCTCTTGGCCCCTCTGGGGAGACTGGCTGGGAATCTTTATTAGGGCAGGCTTTAAAAATGCAAAACATCTCAGACAGGGTCTGTGGGCCTTTCCCCCTCCTCCCTTTGAAGCAAAATACTGAGAGCGGGCCAGATTTCGGAGAGAGAGAAAGGGAAAGAGAGGGATGCTTCCATCCATTGCCAAACCAAAGGGATAGTTAGTTCCTTTCCTCCTTCCTTGCTGGACCCAACCATCCATCCTATAATAATAACAATAATAATAATAATAACTGACATGATATGAGGATTTAAAGATCAAACTGCAAAGACTCTGGCACAAGCCAGTCAAGGTGGTCCCAGTGGTGATCAGCACACTGGGTGCAGTGCCTAAAGACCTTGGCCTGTACTTAAACACAATCAGCTCTGACAATATTTCCAGCTGCAAAAGTCCACCCTACTGGGATCTGCATGCATTATTCGCCGATACATCACACTTGGAAAGTGTCCAACGTGTGATCCAATACAACAGCCAGCACAGTGATCTTGTCTGCTGTGGACTCATCTTGTTGTGTTTCTAATAATAATAATAAGAAGAAGAAGAAGAAGAAGAAGAAGAAGTACCAGCCTCTCCTCGCACAGTTGAAACACACCACCATAAAATTCATATATTAAAACACATTTCTGTAAGATGTTTCGTTTTGCTGTTATTCCAAAGCGGTTTTGCCTTCTTCTTTTTCTCTTTTTCCACCTCCTAATGGCTTGAGATCCAGGAAAGCCACAAGAGAGGCCCTTTCCGCTGCTTTTTCTTCATCCCTAATGATCCTGGCAACCTCTTTCCCTCTCTTTTCCCAGAATCGAAGTCTTTTCGGCCACTAATAACTGAGSAACGATGCTGGAGGCCGGTGGCTCCCAAGACAGGGGTGAGTTTGCTTATACGTATTTGTATTATTTTTCATTTACTGTGTTTAAAGGTAAAGGTTTCATTTAGACATTAAGTCTAGTCCAGTCCAACTCTGGCAGGTGSTGCTCATCTCCATTTCTAAGCCAAAGAGCTGGCGTTGTCCRTAGATGGCTCCAAGGTCATGTGGCCGGCMTRACTGCATGGAGCTCTGTTACCTTCCCGCCAGAGCAGTACCTATTGATCTACTCACATTTACATGTTTTCAAACTGCTAGGTTGGCAGAAGTTGAGCCTAACAGCTGGAGCTCACACCCACTCCCCGGATTCAAACTGCCAATCTTTTGGTCAGCAAGTTCAGCAGCTCAGCAGTTTAACCTGCTGCACCACCGGGGGCTTACTGTCTTTATTTACTAACAAAGAAAAAAACCCCTTCTCCTTTCTTCCTGACTGTTTTTGGGCCAAGACTCCAGTCATCGAACACCTGAGAATTTAGCCCTGAAAGGAATCAGAATAATACTATAGTAATAATAATAATAATAATAATAATTATTATTATTATTATTATTATTATTGTCATTATTATTTTAGCCAGCTCTCCTTGGAGCATGTGGAGAGTGCTTTTCTTACCAAGGGAACTCACTCCATCCTTTCCTCTCTTGTGGGATACTTCTATTGTTGTTGTTGTTGTTGTTGTTATTATTATTATTTTATTTTTATCCCACCTCCTCCCCATAGGGACTCAGTGACATGACACAATATAATAGAATATAATAGAATTGAAAGACAAGGCACACACACACAAAGCAATTTTTATTTTTATTTTTTAAAAATGTGATGAATATTAAAAATAAAACAACAAACATTGTGAAGTGAGGTCTCAGCCTCATGTTTGTGGCACATTGTAAACTGCAAAGACTCACTGGATTCTGTATTCGGGATCTGGCTGAGTCCCAACACTGGGAGAAAATAATAATAATAATATGAGTTGTCGATGTTGCAATCCAAGGTGACAGCGGAATTGATGAAAAACAACTGGAAAAGCTTACACAATATGAGGATTTAAAGATCGAACTGGGGGGGGGGTCCCCAGTGGTGATCGGCACACTGGGTGCAGTGCCTAAAGAACTTGGCCTGCACTTGAAAACAATTGGCCCTGACAAAATCACCACCTGTCAACTGCAAAAGGCCACCCTACTCAGATCTCCACACATTATTCAGTGATACATCATATAGTCCTAGACACTTGGGAAGTGTCCGAAGTGTGATCCAATACAACAGCCAGCATAGTGGTCTTGTCTGCTGTGCAGTAATTTTGTTGTGTATCAAATAATAATAATAATAATAATAATAATAATAATAATAGTTTTATTTCTTGCCCATCTCTCCTCATAGCTCAAGGTGGGGAATAACGTAACTAAAAACACGTCATACACATATTAAAACATACAGTGTTCCCTCACTTATCGTGGGTGTTACATTCCTGGACCATCCGCAAAAAAGTGAAAATCTGCAAAGTAGGGGCGCTAAATTTATTTTAATATTTATACATTATTTTATGGAAGGAATGGAAGGAAAAAGGAAGAGGGGCCGACCAAGGGCAAGATGGATGGATGGTATCCTTGAAGTGACTAGATTGACCTTGAAGGAGCTGGGGGTGGTGACGACCGACTGGGAGCTCTGGCATGGACTGGTCCATGAAGTCACGAAGAGTCGGAAACGAATGAACAAATGAACAACAAACATTATTTGAGTAGTTATACACTATTTTAAGTCTTTATAAACCCTTCCCACACACTTATACACTACATAAGCCTCCTTCAATGTGTTGTTCACGTAATCCTCGGCTCCAGCATTATCCGCAGAGGCAGCCTCTCCATGCAGATAAACGCTCTTAAGTCCATATTGAAAAACTGCAAAACAGAGAGTCCACAAAAAGCGAACCGGGAAGTAGCGAGGGACCACTGTATTTCTATGAAATACATATATCAAAATTCACAAAATACAAATATAAATCAGTTTGGAGAGCAGTTAGTTGACTGTATAGATTTCTTAGCCAAAGAAGACCCCAAAAACCATGGAAGGCAAACACGAGCCGGGTGCGGATTCCCCTCTCTGTCTCCCAGGCCTTTTGCTCTGTCCATTTGTCCGTCAATCGGAACCGGGGCCTCCTTTCCAAGACAAACAAGGCTGCTTTCTGCCTGCCTGAGGAACTGACGTCTCCCTTCTTCCTCCTTCCGAAGCGCAAAGACAATGACTCAGGCCCTGCTTCCCTCCTTTCGCTGCCAAGGCCCCTTGAGAGAAATGAAGCCCTGAGTTCAAATGGAGGAGGAGGAAGGAAAGAAGGGGGAAAACTGTTTTTGTTATGTTCATAATAACACTGGGAAAGAGTGTTATGTTCATAATAACACTGGGAAAGAGGAAGACAGATAACTATAAGAACTTCCTAACTATAAGAAGAACTGTTCAGCAGCGGAACTCACTGCCTCAGAGTCTGGTGGAACTCTGGAGGCTGGAGAGCCAATTGTTGGCCGTGACTGAATGGTGTCCTTCTTGGCTGATAGGGGTTGGGCTGGATGGCCCTTGTGGGTCCCAACTCTAGAATGCTATGATATATCTATTGTATCTTTCTCTCTCTCTCCACCATATCTATCTGTCTGTCTCTCCCACTGATGATTTAGTAAGGATTTTGGGATGTGGGATTTCCTGGGTCACGAAGTGATAAAGATTCAAGTCAGGGGAATGATGCTTCTCTCTGTGAGAAATCTGACTCTGAAAGAGCAGGGTTTCATGGTCAGTCAGAGGAGCCAGAAACTGCAACATTAGATAAGGAGTCTGGTAAGAGCTAAGTGATACAGAAAGTGTCAGAAATACTGAAAATTAATTAGGTATTTTAATTACAAATATGTGACTCAAGCACTGAAAGAGTTAGTTATCTGAAACCTGTTAAGAGTTAGTGGGCCAAAGCTAGTGTCACCCTGGGGAGATTGAGTAGGCCAAAATTTGTTAGTGTTAGTTTACCTCTCTCTGTGTGGGGAGGCTTCTCTGTGAGGTAGGCCTCACAATATTATTTATGTATTTATTTATTTACGGCATTTATATGCTGCCCTTCTCACCCCGAAGGGGACTCAGAGCAGCTTACAATATATATTTTCATGCAATATATTATATTATTAGCATAGTACAATATCAGTATTATATATTACTATATTGCACTATACCATTATATTGTAATATTATTAGTAATATTACATGTAATGTACATATATAATTATAATATGAGAAGGCCTGATATGAGAAGGCCTGGTATGAGAGAAGCCTCATGTGTAAAGCTCTAGTATAAAGGCTGATGTGTGTAAAAAGCTACTGTGTGAAGCTCCAGTATAAGTTCATTGTGAGAGGAGGCTCTGTGAGAGCGAAGCTGTTTATCTGCGTGAGGAAGGAGCCCAGCATGGAAGCAAAGAAGGAAATATAAAGGACTTTATTTGTGTTGTGGAAACCTTGTTATTGCAAATAGTGCAACTATATTATTTTACTAACAACTGGAGCTACGGAGATCAACAAAAGTCTTTGTTTAGCAGGAAATAGGCATCGTAGGTCTACATGGGAAAGTTAATGGGAAACAGAATGCTTTGATGGGTGTCTGTTTAATAGGTTGTTTACCTAAGGCAGTGGTTCTCAACCTGTGAGTCCCCAAGTGTTTTGGCCTACAACTCCCAGAAATCCCAGCCAGTTTACCATCTGTTAGGATTTCTGGGAGTTGAAAGCCAAAAAATCTGGGGACCCACAGATTGAGAACCACTGACCTAAGGATTAGTTCAGGCAATGTAGCGTTCAAGTGAGAAGCTAGGTCTGAGTTCCCTTGGTTCTTGTTTCAATTCTCCTATCGATAAATCTTTTTTGGACCATACCTCTTTTTTATTCCTGATTTTTTCCTATACTTTTTGTGTGTGTGTGTGTGTGTTTTTCTTACAATAAATTTCTTGCTTATGTTCTGGACTCTTGTATGATGCTGTGGTTATAGGTGTTTCCAGGCTTGAAGTGCAACAGGCTGGGTGGCCATCTGTTGGGAGTGCTTGCATGGCATCCCCTTGCCGGCTCGAATTGGCTTGGACTGGATGACTCTTAGGGTCTCTTCCCAATCTAGAATTCTAGAAGACTAAGGCCCACTAGATAGGTTCCTTTCGGAGAATATCTTTCCCCCTCTTGCCCATAGAATCCTAGAATCAACCCCCTTTCGCCAGGCAGGAAAAACACAATCAAAGCCCTCCCAACAGATGGACATCTGCCTCTGCTTGAAAACTCCTGAGAAGGGGACTCCATCATCATCATCATCATCATCATCTATTATTATTATTATTATTATTATTATTATTATTATTATTATTATTATTATAGAATCCTAGAGTAGGAAGCCATCCAGTCCAACCCCCTTCTGGCAAGATGCAGGAACGTGCAAACCAAACCCTCCAGACAGATGGCCATCCAGCATCTGTTTCAAAGCCTTCAGAGAAGGAAGCTCCAGGAAGGGTTTGGCCTGGGCAAGTGCTTGATTCCCCACAGGGCCATCCTTCTCTTGCCCTTTGGGCCCTTCCGACTCGCCCGGGCCTGGATTTCCTGCTGCTCTGTTGACATGAGAAAAACAGGATGTGCCTTTCTTGGAAGGGGCCAGATCAGCAGGGAGGGTGTTCCCCGAAGAACACAAGAGGCTGCCAGGCAGGACGCCCTCCCTGTGGGGTGGGCTCTCCTTTCGGAAGAGCGGGAGGGCAGCGGATCAAGCCTACATTTGGGGTATGAAGCATCAGATCCTCTCCTGAGCCTTCCCCCAGGAATCCTAGAGTCTGAAGGGACCCCAGGGGCCACCCTGTCCAAACTCTTTCTGCTACAAAGGAAGACACAATCAAGCCCTCCTAGTAGATGCCCATCTAGACATAGATTTGATAGACAACAGTTAAATACACACACACACACATACATATAAATGTATATATAGGAACAACTGATATAAAATCCCAGTTTTATAAGAGACCCCAAGGGTCATGCAGTCCAGCCCCCTTCTGCCACAAACATTTCCAACAGATGCCCATCCAGCCACTGATAGATGACCATAGATATGAGATAATAGATAGATATGACTGAGATAGATGTAAGTATAGGATAAATATATAATTCTAGCCCTGGAAAGGACCCCAAAGGGCCATCCAGTCCAACCCCTTTCTGATGCAAAGACACAATCAGAGCCCACCTGGCAGATGACCATCCAGATGTAGATATAATAGAGTTACAACTATGATACACACACAAAAAATGTATATATATGAACAATTGATTTAAAATCCTAGAGTTGCAAGAGATCCAGCCCCCTTTTGCCACAAAACATTCCCAACAGATACCCATACAGCCACTGATAGATGACCATAGATATAATAGAGATAATAGATAGATATGACTGAGATAGATGTATGTATAGGATAAATAGATAATTGTAGGCTTGGAAGGGACCCCAAAGAGCCATCCAGTCCAACCCCTTTCTGACATGAAGACACAATCAAAGCCCTCCTGGCAGATGGACATCCAGACATAGCTAGATGGCCATAGATATAATAGATATGCGTATGTGTATGTATGTGTGAGATAATAATGATGATGCAGATTAAAATTCACATAATAAAATACAATTGAATAGATATGATTAAGATAAAGATATGTGTATGATACATATATAATACTAGAATTGGAGTAGACCCCAAAGGGCCATCCAGTCCAACCCCTTTCTGTCACAAAGGAGGACACAAATAAAACCATCCTGGCAGATGCTCATCCAGCCATAGGTAGATGGCCATAGATATGAGACACATAAAGAGGGATGATAGATATATGTAAATATATGTATTTATTTCAGGTTATATCTAATTCTAGAGTCAAAAGGGAACTCCAAAGGCTATCCAGTCCAACCCCCTTCTGCCACAAACAAAGATACAATCCAAGCCCTCTGAAAAGATGCCCATCCAGCATCTACTTAAAGACCTCCAGAGAAGGAGACTCCAATCCACACATTCCACACTTGAATAGCTCTTGATTGTGAGGAAGTTCTTCCTAAGGTTGAGAGGGAATCTCTTTTCCTGCCATTGGCTTTTCCTCCTTTGCTGAATCTCCCCCTTCTTCCTTTCCAGAGCCGAAGCCTTTGCTACAAAGCCTTCAATCTCTCTGGGAAACGCGAAACATGGAGAAGGTGAGGCCAGGACTGCAAGGGAAGGGAGAGAATAAAAGAGACGCAAACACAACTTGGAATAGATGTGGCAGAGAATAAGGAACATCACAAATTATAACTGTATTTGCTTGGGGTACATCCACACCCTAAGTAAATGTAATTTAGTGTTTACTATTACATTTACACACTCACTCTCTCTCTCTCTAATATCACTATTACATTTACTATATTATTATTATTATATTATTATTATTATTTATTATATATATATTATACTATATTTATTACTATAAATATAGTATAATAATAATAATAATTTTATTTTTATACCCTACCAAACATCTCCCCTAGGGGACTTGGGATAGCTTACAAGGGACAAGCCCAAAATTACAAGTAAAACACAACCGATTAAAAACATCAGATAAAATAAAATAAAAACACACACAACATCAACACACACAACATCAAAGCAATATGGCTGAGAAAAAAGAACATTAGTAAATATTTAATATCAGTGAATATTGGTAAATATTTAATATTCAGTACATATGTCATATGCTCAAAGTCCAATTGAAGACCCCCTTTATGGTTACATATAGGCTGCCCTATAAAACACAGATTATCTGCTTTGAACTGCATTATATGGCAGTGTAGACTCATATAATCCAGTTCAAAGCAAATCATGTGAATTATCTGCTTGACAAATCTGGATTATATGATAGTGTAGAAGGGGGCATCAATTCGACGTAATTTAATTTCATCTAATTTATTTCTTATTGTATTTCTTATTTTATTATTTATTGTGTTTATTGTTTTATTTATATGCAGTATTTTTATATTATTTTATTTTATAGCATTTATTTTAGTTTCATTTGTTTGAATTTTATCTGTTTATTTTATAAATTTATTTTTGTTTATTATATTATATTATATTATATTATATTATATTATATTATATTATATTATATTATATATACACACACATACACATATTATGGAAACTTTTCTTTCCAGCTCTCTGTCTAATGATCTCAGGGCAACCGCCCAGCATGGCTTCCCCTTAGACCTCCTGGGAATGTAGTGCCCCATCCTGCCATGAAGCCCCTTCCCTTCTCTGTGTTTCCGTAGCTGAAGCAGGAGATGGAAGTGGGCTTCTCAGCCCTGGAGGACCCCTGGACCTGGCTGCTGGAGGTGCTGGAAACCTGCAGCGGATGGAGGGGCAAGGGGCGAAGCCTGGGCACCTTCCTGGTCAAAGGTCTGCAGGAGTGGCTCATGAAGAACCCGGAAGGACAGCCGGTGAGGAGAGGGCTTGGGGGGGGGGATTGGACTAGATGGTCCTTGGGTGCCCCTTCCATCTCTAGGTTTTGGAGTACAATGGAGTACAATGAAGTCTCTGTTGGGTGAGTGGGCTTATTAACAAAAGACACTCCTCATAAATGCACAACAGAGTAACTTATTAGCAGCAGACTGACCCAGCACCAGTAGCCCAAAGTGATAAAAAGAACAAAAAAACTTACAGACCATAGGAGGCTTTTCTTTATAGCAAAATAATATGGTTGCACTATTTACAATGACAAGGTTTACATGAACAAAGTTCTGTATTCTTTCTTCGTTGCTTCCACACTGGGCTTCTTTCTCATGTAGATAATCAGCTTTGCGCTCACAGAACCTCTTCTCACACCGAAGTTACACAGGAGCTTCACATAGGAGCTTTTTACACACCGCAGCCTTCACACATGATGACCTTCAACCTGGTGTTTCTCTCACTGAAGCTTCTCACACTAGGCCTACTAACACTGAGACCTGCCTCACACTGAGGCCTTTCTCCCACTGAGGCCTTCTCACACTGAAGGCTCTCTCAAACTGATGCCTCTCATACACTGTGGTGAACTAATGCTGAGGCCTTCTCATACTGAGGCCTACTAACACTGAGGCCTTCTCACACTGAGGGCTCTCTCAGACTGATGCCTCTCATACACTGAGGCCAGGCCTGTAGCGAGGGGGGGGTTAGGGGTTCAACCCCCCCCCCCCCGAATTTTTTCAGGTTAAAAAAAAAAGTTGTTTTACTCATGAATTTTAACTGGTTAACCAAATCCCCATGCTAAGTCTATGAGACGCAAAAAATTAAGAGTCCTTCCAGAACTGCAAGCACTATTTCAAGCCAATATTGACAATTTATTCACACTGTCATTGCTTGCAGCAATAGCCGATGTAGCGAAGCAATCAAGTTGGGGGGGGGGGGGTGTTGAATGCTCTCATTAAGGAGGCCAGACTTGGTGGAGGTGGTTGACAGGGGCGGAGCTGAAGGCTGCTCTGCCCCCTGCTGTGCTCTTTGCTTCAGTGTGAGCTAAGAGGCAGGTTTCAACCCTCCCCCCCAAATTTTCAAAACTCGCCCCCCCCCCCGAAATTTTCAACCCTCCCCGAAATTTTTTTCTGGCTACGGCCCTGACTGAGGCCTTCTCATACTGAGGCCTACTAACACTGAGGCCTTTCTCCCACAGAGGCCTTCTCACACTGAAGGCTCTCTCAGACTTACACCTCTCATACACTGAGGCGAACTAATGCTGAGTCCTTCTCATACTGAGGCCTACTAACACATTGAGACCCTTCTCCCACAGAGACCTCTCTCAGACTGAGGCTACTAAGCTATGACATCCTTTCACGTTGAGCCCGGCTGCTGCGGACGGAGCTATGAACTAACTTCCTTCTTCCCTTCCTTCTTCCCTTCCTCTTCAGTCCGGCTTGAAGCTGAGGAAGCTGCAGGCCCGCCTCTTCCCCCTCCTGGCCCAGTGCCAGGGAAACCTGCTGGACCCCCTGATAGGCATCTATCAGCTCCACGCTGCCGACCGGAACTTCTTGCTGGGCCAAGTCAACCATCTTTACTACAAGGACAAGTTCAAGGAGGTGGGTCCGCCCCATCCCTGGCTTCCCCCAGGAAAGCAAAGCCCCTCTTCATTTCTGACAGGTGGAGGTCATGTGCCCCTGTGGCCACTTGGAGGCAGCCTTGCTCCCTCCCAGATGCCATTCTTAAGGCCTGGGCTTCTCCGGACTCACAGAGGCAGAGATGGAGCCTCAATGGGGAACTCTCTGCAGAAAAGGCCTCCATCCTTCCCTCCCTTTCAGTCTTCGTTGGGAGTCAAAAGGGAGCAATTTGGAGGCAAAGATGTCCTTCCAACTTCTGCCCCAAACCTCACACACCTAACAGCCATCTGGTTAAAGATAGATACGATATATATACATACAATATACATACTATACATCATATATATTATGACAGATATATCCTACTACTGTACTCTAGATATGAATATGGCATATATATGTGTGTGTGTGTGTGTGTGTGTGTAAGTAAGTGTAAATATTAGAGTAAGACATCATCCAAGCCCTCCCGACACATGGCCATCCAGCCAAAGGTATGAATGGATAGATAGATAGATAGATAGATAGATAGATAGATAGATAGATAGATAGATAGATAGATAGATGATACAATCCGAGAGTTGGAAGAGACCTCCAAGGGCCATCCAGTCTAATGCCCTTCTGTCACAAAGGAAGATAAAAGCAAAGCCCTCCTGACATACAGATGTATGCATGTGTGTTTATATTTAGAGGAAGACACTATCCAATCCCTCCCAGCAGATGACCATCCAGCCAAATATGTGAATGGAGGGATGGATATATAGATCATAGAATCCTAGTTGGAAGAGGCCCCAAGGGGCCATCCAGTCCTTACTGCCTTCTGCAGGCACCATCCAAACCCTCCCGACAGATGGCCATCCAGCTAAAGATATGCATGGTGGATGGATGGATAGATAGACTGAGAGATGAAAGAATTCTAGAGTTGGAAGAGACCCCAAGGGGTCATCCAGTCCAACTCCCTTCTGCCAGGCACCAGTCCAACCTTCCCAACAGATGCCCATCCAGCTAAAGATATGCATGGATGGATGAATGGATGGATAGATAGACAGATGATAGATGAGAGAGAGATGATGGATGGATGGATGGAAAGACAGACGAATAGAGATTATAAATATGTGACAGACAGACAGATAGATAGATCATAGACTTCTAGAGTTGGAAAAGACCCCAAGGGGCCAACCAGTCCAACTGCCTTCTGCCAGGCACCATCCAAAGTCTCCCGACAGATGCCCATCCAGCTAAAGATATGGATGGATGGGTGGGTGGGTGGATGGATGGATGGAAAGACAGACGAATAGAGATTATAAATATGAGACAGACAGACAGACAGATAGATCATAGACTTCTAGAGTTGGAAAAGACCCCAAGGGGCCATTCAGTCCAACTGCCTTCCACCAGGCACCATCCGACAGAGGCCATTCAGCTAAAGGGATGGATGGATGGATAGATTAGAGTGGAGGGTGAGCCCTGGCCCCATGACAACTGAGAGGGAAGGAGGAAGCCAACAGACTGTATACACTCGTATGGATGGATGGATAGATAAATCATAGAATTCTAGTGCTGGAAGAACTCCAGTCCAACTCCTTTCTGCCAGGCACCAGTCAAACCCTTCCGATAGATGGCCATCCAACCCCTGCTTAAAAACTCTAGAGGAGTCTGCTATCCAGTGTTTACTTCCTAATGTTTAGGTGGAACTGCTTTGAACCTAGGGCTACATTAGATCCTTGTTTTCAGAGCAGCAGGAAACAAAGGTTGCACCCTCATCAGGTAGTGAAACGTAGCTCTCGCTCCCTGCCGTTGCCCTTGTGTCTGTTTGCATATGGGACTCCTTTGTGTCTCAACGAGGTGTGGGCAAAGTTGGGCCCCAGAATTTGCCCGTGCCTGGTCTAAACCCTCCCTGATCCCGCAATGGTGATCTGCAGGGACGGGGGGGGGGGGGGGGGGGGGGGGGACACAAGATGGCCGCCCCTTTCGCTGCTGTGTCCCCGTTTTTTTCTCATTCCTTTCTCCCCCATTGAGACAATGCTGGGATTGAAGGGCCTGAATGGGCCTGGAGGGGGAGAAGCGGGGGGGGGGGGGGTTGCCGGGTTGTGTTTCATCCCCGCCTTGGGTTTCGCTCCAGCCTTTGAAAGGGGCTCTGGCCCCTCCTCGAAGGGGGCAGACAAAGGGGGCTCTTGTCTGGTGGGGCAGTCGGGGTGGGGCCCCCAAAAGGCCACTGTCAGCTCCCATTAGCGGGGCTCCGGTGACTTCTTTCTCCGCGGGGCCACCATCTTTCACGTCCTTTCGTTGGGGGGGGGGGGGGCATGAATGCCCTTCATTGTCCATTCAGTCTGTTTATTTACATCTTAAAAGAGAGAGAAAGCACTTAGAAAGGTAACCCGAAAAACAACGCCTCCCCGAACCAACATCTTTTGCTTTCAGGGACTGTCTTTGGGGTTTCCCCCATCTCCTGGGCTTCAAAGGCTCTTCCCTGGCCTTGTCTTGAGAAGTAAAGGGTTTGACCCCAAGTTGCCTCTTGGCTTGTAGTGACCCCGGGGCGGGGGGGGGGGTGTCATGGGAGGCTTTTTTGAGGCAAAGATGGCTCTCCTTTCAGGCACTCAAGTATGAAAGGCCTGGCCAAGGTTCTCTCCTCCCCAGGATGTTGGGCGAGTGGGCTTATTAACAAAAGACCCTCCCCATAAATGCACAGCAGAGTAACTTATTAGCAGCAGCGTCGCCCAGCATCAGTAGCCCAAAGTGATAAAAGAACAAAAAACACACAGACCAATGTTATCTCCTCCATAGCAGGCTTTTCTTTGATGTAAAAATAACATAGTTGCACTATTTACAGTAACAAGGTTTCCATAACACAAGTAAACAAATACATAGTAGCTTTACATGCAGCAGCCTTCACACACTGGAGCTTCTCTCACACAAAGGTTTACCTCACACTCCTCAGGATGACACTAGCTTTGGCCCGCTGACTCTTAACAGGCTTCGGCCTACTCATTCTCCTCAGGGCAACACTAGCTTTGGCCCACTGACTCTTAACAGGCTTCGGCCTACTCATTCTCCTCAGGGCAACACTAGCTTTGGCCCACTGACTCTTAACAGGCTTTGGCCTACTCATTCTCCTCAGGGCAACACTAGCTTTGGCCCACTGACTCTAACAGGCTTCGGCCTACTCATTCTCCTCAGGGCAACACTAGCTTTGGCCCACTGACTCTAACAGGCTTCGGCCTACTCATTCTCCTCAGGGCAACACTAGCTTTGGCCCACTGACTCTTAACAGGCTTCGGCCTACTCATTCTCCTCAGGACAACACTAGCTTTGGCCCACTGACTCTAACAGGCTTCGGCCTACTCACTCTCCTCAGGACAACACTAGCTTTGGCCCGCTGACTTTAACAGGATTCGGCCTACTCATTCCTCAGGACGACACTAGCTTTGGCCCACTGACTCTAACAGGCTTCGGCCTACTCACTCTCCTCAGGACGACACTAGCTTTGGCCCACTGACTCTAACAGGCTTTGGCCTACTCACTCTCCTCAGGATGACACTAGTTTTGGCCCACTGACTCTACCAGGCTCTGGTCTACTCACTCTCCTCAGGGCAACACTAGCTTTGGCCCACTGACTCTAACAGGCTTTGGCCTACTCATTCTCCTCAGGGCAACACTAGCTTTGGCCCACTGACTCTAACAGGCTTCGGCCTACTCATTCTCCTCAGGGCAACACTAGCTTTGGCCCACTGACTCTTAACAGGCTTCGGCCTACTCATTCTCCTCAGGGCAACACTAGCTTTGGCCCACTGACTCTTAACAGGCTTCGGCCTACTCATTCTCCTCAGGGCAACACTAGCTTTGGCCCACTGACTCTTAACAGGCTTCGGCCTACTCATTCTCCTCAGGGCAACACTAGCTTTGGCCCACTGACTCTAACAGGCTTCGGCCTACTCATTCTCCTCAGGGCAACACTAGCTTTGGCCCACTGACTCTAACAGGCTTCGGCCTACTCATTCTCCTCAGGGCAACACTAGCTTTGGCCCACTGACTCTAACAGGCTTCGGCCTACTCATTCTCCTCAGGGCAACACTAGCTTTGGCCCACTGACTCTAACAGGCTTCGGCCTACTCATTCTCCTCAGGGCAACACTAGCTTTGGCCCACTGACTCTAACAGGCTTTGGCCTACTCATTCTCCTCAGGGCAACACTAGCTTTGGCCCACTGACTCTTAACAGGCTTTGGCCTACTCATTCTCCTCAGGGCAACACTAGCTTTGGCCCACTGACTCTAACAGGCTTCGGCCTACTCATTCTCCTCAGGGCAACACTAGCTTTGGCCCACTGACTCTTAACAGGCTTTGGCCTACTCATTCTCCTCAGGGCAACACTAGCTTTGGCCCACTGACTCTTAACAGGCTTCGGCCTACTCATTCTCCTCAGGGCAACACTAGCTTTGGCCCACTGACTCTAACAGTCGACCTACTCATTCTCCTCAGGATGACACTAGCTTTGAGCGCACTGACTCTAACACGCTTTGGCCTACTCATTCTCCTCAGGACGACACTAGCATTGAACCCACTGACTCTAACAGGCTTCGACCTACTCATTCTCCTCAGGACGACACTAGCTTTGGGCCCACTGACTAACACACTTCGGCCTACTCATTCTCCTCAGGACGACACTAGCTTTGAGCGCACTGACTCTAACAGGCTTCGGCATGCAGCAGCCTTCACACTGGAGCTTTCTCACACGAGGCTTCTCTCACACAGAGGTTTACCTCACACTCCTCAGGACAACACTAGCTTTGGCCCACTGACTCTAACAGGCTTCGGCCTACTCACTCTCCTCAGGACGACACGAGCTTTGGCCCGCTGACTTTAACAGGCTTCGGCCTACTCACTCTCCTCAGGACGACACTGTAGCGTTTCACCACACAACACGAGCTTTGGCCCACTGACTTTAACAGGCTTCGGCCTGCTGACTCTAACAGGCTTCAGCCTACTCATTATCCTCAGGACAACATTAGCTTTGGCCCACTGACTCTAACAGGCTTCGGCCTACTCACTGTCCTCAGGATGACACTAGCTTTGGCCCACTGACTCTTAACAGGCTTCGGCCTACTCATTTTCCTCAGGACAACACTAGCTTTGGCCCACTGACTCTTAACATTTTTCTCTCAGTCATATGACATCTTTGGCTCTCTATCTATGTCTGGATGGGTGTCTGTTGGGAGAGATTGGATTGTGTCTTCCTGCCTGGCAGAAAGGGATTGAACTCGAGGGCCCTTATGATCACTTCCAACTCTAGAAATCTATAATATACATCCATTTATCTCTCATGTTTTTCTCTCAGTCAAATCACATCTCTATCTGTCTATGGCTGGGTGGCTATCTGTTGGGAGGGATCAGATTGCGTCTTCCTGCCTGGCAGAAAGGAATCCTGGGAGTCTCATGTTTTTCTCTTAATCATATCACATCTCTGGCTCTCTGTCTATGGCTGGATGTCTGTCTGTTGGGAGGGATTGGATTGTGTCTTTCTTCCACTTTAATGAGTCAATGATGCTTGATTCATTCATTCATTGATTCCTTCATTGTGTCTTCCTTTATGAGGTCAGACTGGATGGCCCTTGGGGGTCCCTTCCAACTCAAGGATCCCGTCCTCCTTCCTGGGTCAAAAGGGGGTCCAGGTTGGCTCCGCTTTGGGGAGATGTGGAGCCCGAGACCCCCGACCCACCCGCTTTGGATTGCAATTCCCATGAGCCTGAAAGCTGAGCGGCATTCAGGGCATGGGAAGGCGGCCCTGGCTGGCCCTGGGGACGGACGGGGAGGAATGGGGCTGGGGTCCTGATCCGGGAGCGGTCCCTTGGGGGCCTTTCTCCGTCAGCCCCTTTCTTCCCAGCCTTCCCATTTGCCGCTCCCAGCGTTCCCAAGCGGGTGTAAAAATAACCGCAAGGGAACCGCTTGGGGGACGGCGGTGCCGCCTTGCCTTCCCTGCCCCGACGGAGCGCCCTTTTCCAGGACCGATCAAAATAGTTGCATGGGAATGGCCTGGCCCTCTTCCTCCCCAGGCCCCCTTCCCCTTTCCCCCTGGTATTTTTAGGCTCCTCCAAAGGTCACAGCCATCCTTTGGGGAAGACAAATGAGCGGCATCGCATGGAGAGGCACACGTTATATATTGGGCCTGTGACAAACCGGGACAGCGTTTGGCCTTTAGAAATCCCCTTTAAAACATAGGCAAAAGGGACCCCCAAGGGTCATCTAGTCCAACCCCATTCTGCAACTAACATGCTCCTGAAAGGTGGCTACCTGTCTCCTCTGTTTTGTGGCCTTCAAACAAAGTCATGGAGAAACATTTCTTTTTCAAAAGCATGAAGTTTCCATTAAAAGCTCTGTCTTCCCTCCTTCCCCAAACTCCCTTTGGTCTTCTAGGCAGCCGTTTTAGGCATAAAACTCAAGCTGCAGCCGGACCTGGAGTTGGAGAAGGTGAGTCCTCACCACCACGCCCATGACTCTCCTGCCTTCCATTCTGCCAGGCTTTTTATGTACATCCAGCCGTCATTCATAAAATAATAATCCCATTCAGACAAATCTGAGGATATTATTATTATTATTATTATTATTATTATTATTATTTGAAACACAACAAGATTACTCCACAGCAGACCCTCTGCTGGTTGTTGAATTGGATCACATGTCGGACACTTCAATAATAATAATTATTATTTTTATTGTTGTTGTTATTATTATTATTATTATTATTATTTGAAACACTACAAGATGAGTCCGCAGCAGACAAGATCACTTTGCTGGCTGTTGTATTGGATCACACGTCGGACACTTCCCAAGTGTCTAGGACTGGCTGATGTATCGGCGAATAATGTGTGCAGATCCCAGTAAAGTGGCCTTCTGTAGCTGGCAGATGGTAATTTTGTCAGCGCCGATTGTGTTTAAGTGCAGGCCAAGGTCTTGAGGCACTGCACCCAGTGTGCCGATCACTTGGACCACCTTGACTGGCTTGTGCAAGTCTTTGCTCAGCGAATAATGCCTGCAGATCCTTATTATTATTATTGTTATTATTGTTGTTGTTATTATTATTATTATTATTATTATTATTATTATTATTACAACCATAGTTTGGGGGCTGCCAACCTCTCTATGGGGTTACAACAGCCTTGCCTTATTATTATTATTATTATTATTATTATTATTATTATTATTATTGTTATTTACAACCATGGTTTGGGGACTGCCAACCTTTCTATGGGGTTACAACAGCCTATCCTTACTATTATGAGTATGATTATGATTATTACTTGCAACCATTCTTTGGAGATTCAACAGCTTTGCCATTAGTAGTAGTAGTAGTAGTAGTAGTAGTTGTTATTATTATTATTATTATTATTATTATTATTATTATTATTATTATATACAACCATGGTTTGGGGGCTTCCAACCTCTCTATGGGGTTAAAATAGCCTAGCCATACTATTATGAGTATGATTATGATTATTACATGCAATCATTCTTTGGAGGTTCAACAGTCTTGCCATATGTTGTTGTTGTTGTTGTTGTTGTTGTTGTTATTTACAACCATGTTTTGAGAGTCCCGATGGCACAGCGGGTTAAACCACTGAGCTGCTGAACCTGCTGACTGAAAGGTTGGTGGTTTGAATCTGGGGAGTGGGTTGAGCTCCCGCTGTTAGGCCGAGCTTCTGTCAACCTAGCAATTCAAAACATAGAAATGTGAGTAGATCAATAGGTACTCCAGTGGGAAGTTAGTGATGCTCCATGCAGTTATGCTAGTGGCCACGTGGCCTTGGAGGCGTCTATGGACAACACTGGCTCTTCGGCTTAGAAATGGGGATGAGCACCAAACCCCAGAGTTGGACATGACTAGACTTAATGTCAAGGGGAAAACTTTACCTTTAGAGAGCTGCCAACCTACCTGTGGAGTTTCTGTTCCCCCATTCTGCCTGTTTATGATGAATTGGGCTGATTGGAAGGGTCCTGGGGGTGGTTTCCACCTACGCCAATTGTTCAATCCAGTGCTTGCGAAAGCGACAATCCTCTTCCTCTTGGCGCAGATGTGTGTCCCGCTGCTGTTCCAGGACCGGATGGACCTGGTGGAGGCCTTTGTAGAGAACCACCCGGACCTCCAGCAGCAGCTGCTCCGGTTCCTGGACACGTGGTTCGCCCCTGACTTCCAGGTCAAAGAGGTCACCAGGTGAGCATACCCACCCTTGCAGGGCTGAACAGTAGCGAGATCCCTGTGCAGAAGACAGCCACTCTCGCCCTTCCTTCCTTTTGGCCTCACCCTGCTTCTCCTCCCATCACTTATCTCAGAAAATCCTAGAATTGGAAGGGATCCCTAAAGGCCATCCAGTCCATTCCCTTTCTGCCATTAAGGAAGACGCCATCCAAGCATGATGGGCATAGATATGATAGCTATGATTGAGAGGGGGAGAGTGATGATAGTTACATAGATATGATGTCTGTATCTATGCACACACACACTATATAAATAAAAATGTAATGTTCGTTTGTGGGATTAACAGAACTCAAAAACCACTGGACGAAATGACACGAAATATGGACACTACACCCCTAACAGACCAACAAGTGACCATCACTCATAACCCCACCCCCAAAAACAGTGGAAAGGACTTAAAAACCCTGAAAAACTAAATGACGATTTAGAAAAAAAGAGAAGAAAGAGAGAGGGACGGAAGGGGAGAAAGAAATAAGGAAAGAAAGAAAGAAAGAAACATGGAAGCAAAGAGCAAAGGAAGGAAGTAAAGAGGTAGAGAAGGAAGAAAAGAGAGAAAGATGAAAAGAGAAGGAATGGAAAGAAAGGGGTAGAGAAAGAAGGAAGAAGAGAAGGAAAGAAAAAAGGAAAGTAAGGAAAGAGGGAGCAAAGGAAGAAGAGAAAGAGAGAAAGGGGGAGGAAGGAAAGACAGAAGTAAGGATGGAAGCAAAAAGCAAAGGAGGGAAGGAAAGATGTAGAGAAGGAAAGAGAAAGAGGAAAAGAAAAAGGGGGAAGGAAAGAAAGAGGAAAGAAAAGAAAGAGAAGGAAGGAGAGAATGAAAGAAAAAAGGAAAGGAAAGGGAGCGAAGGAAGGAGGGAAAGAAGGAAGAAAGGAGAGAAGGAGGGAAGGAAAGACAGAAGGAAGGATGGAAGCAAAAAGTGAAGGAAGGAAGGAAAGTGGCAGAGGAGGAAGAAAGGAGAGAAAGGGAAGGAAAAGGAAGGAAAGAAAGAAAGAGGTAGAGAAGGAAAGAAGAAAAGGGAAGGAAGGAAAGGGGAGCGAAGGAAGGGGGAAAGAAGGAGAGAAAGGGAGGGAAGGTTGGTCACAGCAATGCGTGGCGAGTACAGCTAGTGTGTGTGTGTTTGTGTGTGTGTGTGTGTATGTATGTATGTATTTGTAATGTTTGTTTGTGGGATTAACATAACTCAAAAACCACTGGACAAATTGACACCAAATTTGGACACAAGACACCTATCAGGCCAATGAGTGACCATCACTCATTGAAACCCTGAAAAACACAGCAGAAGAGACTTAAAAAGCAAAAAACAAAATTCACATTGCAACGCAGGCACAAAACCACATATATATACGCAAACACAATATACGCAAATATATACACACACATATATACACACACAAAACACATATAGACAGACTGGGCCACAGGAACATGTGTCAAGGGACAGCATGTGTGTGTGTGTGTGGCATTTATATTCCACCCTTCTCACCCCGAAGGGGACTCAGGGCGGAAGACAACATATAAATAGCAAACATTCAATATATGTATATGTATATGATATATATGTATATGATATATCATTGAATATAAAGCTGGAAGACACCTCAAGGGCCATCTGGTCCAACCCACCTTCTGCCAGGTAGGAAGGCACCATTCAAGCCCCCCCGACAGATGGCCATCCAGACTCTGCCAAAAATTCCCCCAGAGAAGGAGACCCCATCTGAAACAGCTCTGACCAATCAAGAGGATCTTCTGTTCTTCCAGGGAGTTTCCCAGCCTGAAACCAGAGAAGATCAACCACCGGCTCCTAAACAGGACAATGTTCCGGTTGCTGGACAAGTTCCAGCTGGACCCAGGTAGGCCCAGGACAGTGGCGACGCCAATAAAGGCCTTATGGTCAAGCTTGGTTTGCCCCCTTCGCAAAAAGAGAGATTCGAGGAAGTTCCCAGGCGTCAACAGAGCTTCCCCAACTTGCAGTCCCCACTTCTATGCATATTATTGAGATTTCTCCCTCCTACCCTTTTATTTTATGTTTTTCAACCCATGAGGACTGACTTGCTTTCAATTGGTTTCAAGAGTGTGAGCTGTTTATTTTTAATACTGTTCAGATTTAATTCTGTTTTAATGCTTGTATATGCTTATATTTTAATGAGCCGCTTTGACTCTCCTCTTTAGAGGAAAAGGGATACAAATAATAATAATAATAATAATAGGATATAAGTAACAATGATTATCATTTAATAGTAATAATAATGGGATACAAAGAATAATAGTAATAAATATATTATTGTTGTTGTTCATTCGTTCAGTCGTCTCCGACTCTTCGTGACCTCATGGACCAGCCATTATTAAGAATAATAATGGAATTCAAATAACAATTATATATTAATAGGATACAAATAATATTGATTTATTAGTAGTATTAACTAAGAATGGGATGCAAACAGTAATAACATTAATACATTTATTATAATTTATTATTATTTAAGAAAAATAATGGGATGCAAATAACCAATATATAAAATAATAGATTACAAATAATATTAATATATTATTAAATAATAATGGGATGTAAATAATAATATCAATAAATTTATAATAATAGTAGCAATGTTGTTGTTGTTCATTCGTTCAGTCGTCTCCGACTCTTCGTGACCTCATGGACCAGCCCACGCCAGAGCTCCCTGTCGGCCGTCACCACCCCCAGCTCCTTCAAGGTCAGTCCAGTCACTTCAAGGATGCCATCCATCCATCTTGCCCTTGGTCGGCCCCTCTTCCTTTTTCCTTCCACTTTCCCCAGCATAATTGTCTTCTCCAGGCTTTCCTGTCTCCTTATGATGTGGCCAAAGTACTTCAACTTTGTCTCTAGTATCCTTCCCTCCAATGAGCAGTCGGGTTTTATTTCCTGGAGGATGGACTGGTTGGATCTTCTCGCAGTCCAAGGCACTCTCAGCACTTTCCTCCAGCACCACAGCTCAAAAGCATCGATCTTCCTTCGCTCAGCCTTCCCTAAGGTCCAGCTCTCACATCCGTAGGTTATAATAATAGGTAGCAATAATAACATTTAATAATAATAGATGCAAATAACAAATATATAAAAATAATGAGAATACAAATAATATTAATATATTATTAAAGAATAATGGGATGTAAATAATAATAGTATTAATAGATTTATAATTACAGTAGCAATAATAAATAATAATAATGGATACAAATAACAAATATATAAAATAATAGACTACAAATAATATTAATATATTATTAAATAATAATGGGATGTAAATAATAATATCAAAAAATTATTATAATACTAGCAATAATAACATTTAATAATAGTGGGATGCAAATAATAAATGCAGTATATAAAATGATAGAATACAAATAATATTAATATATTATTATTAAATAATAACGGTAAGCAAATAATAATATAGTTATAATAAATGTATAATAAATAGTAACATCAACAACAATTTAAAAGGGGAGGTCCTTACGAAACACCATTCTGGTGCCCAGGGCCTTCTCACTTGGTTCTTACAGAATGAACACAAACCAGATCATAATACGTCACTATTTAATTGTTTTGATATTTGTATATTTATTAAATTTGTAAACTGTACAGTATTGGTTTTACCATAAGCCGCTTTGAGTTTCTCTATTTGAGACAGAAAAAAAGCAGGATACAAACAACAACAACAACAGATCTGCTTATTAATATCCTGCTATCCAAACCCCTCTTCCAGCTCTTTGTCCCAATGTGGTCAACCAGAAGCACCTGAGCACCCTCAAGTACCTGCTCTACAAGAGATTTGTGGAGGTCAGTAGCAAGATCTCGCCTGTCAATATCTCTGTGTATCATTTCATTGTCCAGAAGGAGGCTTTAACCACCTTCCGTTGCCCATTTCCTTTCCCAGAAAACCATGACGGAGGAGAACTGGACTGACCACGTCCAGGTGAGTTTTTGAATACGTTGCCTAAACTGCGCCTTTTCTGGGGCCCAAAAGCACGTTCTAAAGGGCTGGATGACCTTTAGAGGTCCCTTCCAATTCTACAGTTCCCTTGCGCTTCCCGAAGGGCCGGTGCTCCATCCCCGGGAAGCCCTTTCTTTGCTCCTGAGAGGATTTCCTCTCTCCGTCTCGTTTGGCCTGGGAACCCAGAGCGTGGGACGGTTGCCGGCCTGGAACAGGAATGAACGCAGCCACCTCTTGAAAAGGAAGCACCGCCTTAGGAATGAGCCAGCACCGGGTGGGAGTTTCCCCGCTTGGGTTTTACCTCTGCCACAGACTTCACAACAGCCAGAACCAAACTGCCTGCATTCAAATATATCTCCTTTGATTTCCAGAGGTGTTTCGCCAGGGGCTGGATGGCCATCTGTCGGGAGGGCTTGGATGGTGCCCTCCTGCCTGGGGGAAGCAGGTTCGACAGGGTGGCCCCTTGGGATCTCTTCCACCTCTAGGATCCTATGATACATCTATCATATCTACCTCTCAATCATATCTATCTACAATCAATCAATCATGGCTGGATGGCCATCTGTCGAAAGGGCTTGGGTGGTGCCTTTCTATATGACTGAATGGAGTGTGACTGGATGATTTTTAGAACTCCGAGGTCTACAATATTTATATCATATATACCGATGTGTATATATATATATATGGTATATATATATGGTATGTATGTGTATATGTGTATCTATGTGTGTGTGAATGCATATGTATGTGTGTATATAATCAATCTATGGATGGATGACCATCTGTTGGGAGGGCTTGGATGTTTCTTCCTGCCTTGCATGCATTGGATAACCCTTGGTGGGTCCCTCCAATTCTATATTCTTATCATATATTATATTATGTTATGTTATATTATATTATGTTTACATACACACATACATATACACAGGGCTATCTATCTATAATAATAATAATAATAATAATAATAATAATTATTATTATTATCATTATTTATTTGACTAGTCATATGACCATTTCAAAATACAAGACATATCTAAGGCTGGATATGGCTATCTGTCAGGAGGGCTTTGCTTGTGTCTTCCTGCCTGCCAGAAGGGTATTGGACTGGATGGCCCTCGAGGTCTCTTCCAACTCTAGGAATCTATTATATGCATCTACTTACCTACCTACCAGTCTCTTCTTTCTCTCTCAATCATATATCTATAGATGGCCATCTGTCGGGAGGGATCGGATTGTGTCTTCCTGCCTGGCAGAAGGGGATTGGACTGGAGGACCCTTGGGGTCCCTTCTAACTCTAGGAATCTATTATATGCATCTACTCACCTACCTACCTGTCTCCTCTTTCTTTCTCAATCATATATCTATAAATGGCCGTCTGTCAGGAGGGATCGGATTGTGTCTTCCTGCCTGGCAGAAGGGGATTGGACTGGAGGACCCTTGGGGTCTCTTCTAACTCTGGGAATCTATTAGATGCATCTACTTACCTACCTACCTATCTCCTCTTTCTCTCTCAATCATATCATATCTATAGATGGCCATCTGTTGGGAGGGATCGGATTGTGCCTTCCTGCCTGGCAGAAGGGGATTGGACTGGAGGGCCCTTGGGGTCTCTTTCAACTCTAGGAATCTATTATATGCATCTACTTACCTACCTACCTACCTACCTATTTTGTCTTTCTCTCTCAATCATATCACATCTATAGATGGCCATCTGTTGGGAGGGATCAGATTGTGTCTGCCCCCGCCCCCATTCTTGCTCTTTTTTTTTTCCTTACTTCTTCTGCTGCCGCCATGTTTGCCCCCCGAAGGGGCCCATGCATGTGCAGACGCAGCCTTCTGCAGCGGAGGAATGCTGCCTCAGCAGCGGTTGGGTCTCATTCCTGAGATGCTTTCAGCACCTGCACAGGTGAGAGGCACTCCTCTCGGGAGGGGCGAGGAGGGGCCCCAATGGTGGGGTCACATTTGCCCCAAAGCCCCAAACCGGAGAAGGGGGGGCGGGCATCTTGTCTACAGTGTCTGGGACCAGGAATGAAGTCTGCGTGCGATTGTCCTTTTCCGCAGGGCAATCTGCCCCTATCTTTCCTATAGTTGGAAGGGACCCTGTTCTGCCACGAGACATCATCTTATTCCTCCTGACAGATGACCATCCGGCCATAGATTTGAAAAGATATGAGAGAGAGGTGATAGCTATGACTGAGAATGTTATATGTATATGATAGATATAGAATCCCTAGTTGGAAGGGATATATTATTTTTATATTCTTCTTATTATATTATATTATTATATAATATAATATTATAATATTTTATATGATTAATATTATGATTTTATATTATTATAGAGAATATTATTATTATATTATTATATAATATAACATTATTATATAATATTAATATAATAATAATATTAGATAATAATATTATATTATTACATTATTATTTTATATTATTATAAGGGAGCCCCCAGTGGCACAATGGGTTAAACCCTTAAACCCTTGTGCGAGAAGGATTGAAGACTGACAGGTCAGAGTTTCAAATCTGGGGAGAGCGTAGATGAGCTCCCTCAATCAGCTCCACCTCCCAAGCAGGGACATGGGAGAAGCCTCCTACAAAGATGGTAACACATCAAACATCCGGGAGTCCCCTGGGCAACGTCCTTGGTCAGCCAATTCTCTCACACCAGAAGCAACTTGCAGTTTCTCAAGTTGTTCCTGACATGAAAATATATATATTATTATTATATTACTATTGTTATTATCTCTGCTGATTGTCCAGTCCCTCCTGACAGATGGCCTCTTGGGTTGCTGTGAAGTTTCCAGGCTGTCTAGCCATATTCCAGAAGCATTCTCTCCTGACGTTTCACCCACATCTATTGCAGGCATCCTCAGAGGTTGTGAGGTCTGTTGGAAACTAGGCGAGTGGGGTTTATATATCTATGGAATAATGTCCAGGGTGGGAAAAAGAACTCTTCTCTGCTTGAGGCAAGTGGCCACCTTGATTACCATTGAATGGCTTTTCAGCTTCAAAGCCTGGCAGCTTCCTGCCTGGGAGAATCCTTTGTTGGGAGGTGTTAGCTGGCCCTGAGGATGCCTGCCATAGATGTGGGTGAAATGTCAGGAGAGAATGCTTCTGGAACATGGTCAGACAGCCTGGAAAACCCACAGCAACCCACTAAATCCCTGAGAGAGGGATTTATAGTTTCCTCAGGAGCCTTTTCCAGTTGCTTATATCTTCCTTGAGTTGAGAACTAGAGACTGACTAAAGTAGAAGAGAGGGGCACCCTGAGTTCTCTCTATCCGGACACTAGACTCCTCTTGATGCGGCCTAGAATTGCATTGGCTTTTTTTGCTGCTGCATCACATTGTTGGCTCACGTCCAATCTCCCAGATCCGTTTCTCATGGGCTGCTTTGAAGCCAGGTGCAGGACCCTCCATTCTTCTCTCGAGGTGCTAGGTCTCCTCCTCCTCCTCCCTCCTTGGGAGGGTTGTGCAAGGCCTGTGCGGTGTTTTCCCAGCCTTGCTGCCTCTGTAGAGCCAAGGGAGCCCCAGGCAAGGCATGCTGGCTTTCGCTTTTTCCGCAGCAGCAGCAGCCGAGGAATCCCGCCCGACCGGCCCCTTGTTCTCCTCTCTCCTTCACGTTGGGGCTGCGCTGCTTAGGAACAAAGAGGCAAAGTGACGGGAGAAATGACTCCTGGCCCCAATTCCATCCTTGCCAGCCTTGGGACCCCATGAACCCCCAAGGAAACCCCTTCCCAGGAATTCCAGGGGGCCAACATATATAAGGCAGGTAGTTTGCTTGGCAAAGGGATGCAGCCAGCAGGCTTTCCTAATTCTGGAAGCGCACTTTCCATCTCAATTAAGAGGTCAAAGGGGATGATGATGATGATGATAAATACCACCTATTGAAGGGATGAGTGGCCCTATAACCAGGATTTGGCCTTTTCCTAATAATAATAATAATAATAATAATAATAATAATAATAACAACAACAACAACAACAACAACAACAACAACAACAACCACCACCACCACCACCACCACCACCACCACCACCTATTGAAGGGATGAGTGACATAATAATAATAATAATAATAATAATAATATCACATATTGAAAAATACCACGTATTGAAGGGATGAGTGGCCCTATAACCAGGATTTAGCCTTTTCCTAATAATAATAATAATAATAATAATAATAATAATAATAATATAATAACCACCTATTGAAGGGATGAGTGGCATAATAATAATAATAATGAAAAATACCACGTGTTGAAGGAATGAGTGGCCCTATAACCAGGATTTAGCATTTTCCTAATAATAATAATAATAATAATAATAATAATAAGCACCTATAATAATAATAATAATAATAATAAGCACCTATTGAAGGGATGAGTGGCCCTATAACCAGGATTTCACCTTTTCCTGATGATGGTGATGATGATGACCACCTATTGAAGGGATGAGTGGCCCTATAACCAGGATTTGGCCTTTTCTAATAATAATAACAAAAACCACCTAAGGAAGGGATGAGTGGCCCTATAATCAGGATTTGGCTTTTTCCTAATAATAATAATAATAATAATAATAATAACAACAACAACAACAACAACAACAACCACATACTGAAGGGATGAGTGGCCTAAGAACAATAATAATAGTAGTAGTAGTAATAGTAGTAGTAGTAAATACCACCTATTGAAGGGATGAGTGGCCCTATAACCATGATTTGGCCTTTTCTAATAATAATAACAAAAACTACCTAAGGAAGGGATGAGTGGCCCTATAATCAGGATTTGGCTTTTTCCTAATAATAATAATAATAACAACAACAACCACATATTGAAGGGATGAGTGGCCTAAGAACAATAATAATAGTAGTAGTAGTAGTAGTAGTAGTAAATACCACCTATTGAAGGGATGAGTGGCCCTATAACCAGGCTTTGGCCTTTTCTAATAATAATAACAAAAACCACCTAAGGAAGGGATGAGTGGCCCTATAATCAGAATTTGGCTTTTTCCTAATAATAAGAATAACAACAACAACAACAACAACAACCACATATTGAAGGGATGAGTGGCCTAAGAACAATAATAGTAGTAATAGTAGTAGTAGTAGTAGTAGTAGTAGTAGTAAATACCACCTATTGAAGGGATGAGTGGCCCTATAACCAGGATTTGGCCTTTTCTAATAATAATAACAAAAACCACATAATGAAGGGATGAGTGGCCTAACAACAACAACAACAACAACAACAATAATAGTAGTAGTAGTCGTAAAAAATACCACATATTGAAGGGATGAGTGGCCCTATAAACAGGATTTAGCTTTTTCTTCCTCCTCCTCCTCCTAATAATAATAATAATAATAATAATAATAACAACAACAACAACAACAACAAAAACAACAACAACCACCTATTGAAGAGATGAGTGGCCCTATAACCAGGATTTGGCTTTTTCCTAATAATAATAATAATAATAATAATAATAATAATGCCACCTATTGAAGTGATGAGTGGCCCTATAACCCAGATTTGGCTTTTACCTAATAATAATAATAATAATGCCACCTATTGAAGTGATGAGTGGCCCTATAACCCGGATTTGGCCTTTTCCTAATAATAATAATGATGATGATGATGATGTTGGTGGTCTGTGGCCCCGAGAGTAACCCCTCTTCCCCATTGCTTTGCAGCTCACTGTCCAGGGGAACCAGTGGCTGCAGGAGCAGCTGGTCCACCTCCTGGTCCACCACGGAGGGTTGGAGGTGGCCGCCAGGTGGGCCATGCACTATGGCCTCCCCAAGGAGAGGCTCCCTCGCTGCGTCCCAGAGATGATGGAGAGGCTCGGGCAGCAGGAGAGGTAGGGCAGGCCTTGCGGGGATCTCTTTCCTTGGATCATTGGAGTTGGGAGAGACCCTAAGGTCCAACCAGCCTAGTCTTCTAGTCTCACAGGGACTGTCCCCATCCTTTTTCTGCGCAATTCATTTCTATTGTCAAAGTGCCGTATTGCACATTTCTTCCTGTTGGTTCTGCCTTCCTCCGTCTGTCTTCTGTCCTCTTCCCTCCCGGATCTTTCCAGACGCATGGATCCAAACAGCCCCAGAGAGCAGGAGGCTTTCGCACACCTTTCCCAAATATTGCCATTGGGGCTTGCACAAATATTGACCATCTGGTGAGCACACAGGCCCTCCGGGCGGCATGTGTTTGTCTTGCCCCGGGACACCATCATGCTGGTCACACGCTCCCCACCAAGCCCACTGGCCAGTGTTTTCCCAAAGAGTAAACTAGGGGAAGGAAGGAAGGAAGGAAGGAAGGAAGGAAGGAAGGAAGGAAGGAAGGAAGGAGGAAGGAGGAAGGGGAGGAAGGAAGAAGAGGGGAGGAAGAAGGAAGAGGATGGAAGGGAAGAGAAAAGAGAGGGAAAGGAAAGGAGAATGGAAGAAAGGAAGAAAGAGGAAGGAAGAAGGAAGGGAGGAGAAGGGGAAGGAGGGAGAGAAGGGAGGAGGAAGGGAAGGAAGAAAAGGGAAGGAAGGAAGCATGGATGAAAGGAAGGAAGGAGAGAGGGAAAGGGAGGGGGAAGAAAGGAAGGGAGGGAGAAGGGAAGGAAAGAGAAGGAAGGAATGGAAAGAAAGGGAAGGAGGGAAGGAAGGAGGAAGGAAGAAGGAAAGGAAGGAGGAGGGAGGGAAGGAAGGAAGGAAGAAGGAAGGAAGAGGGAAGGAAGGAAAGGGGAGGGAGAGGGAAGGGAGAGAAGGATGGGAAGAGGGAGGGAAGGAATGAAAGGGAAGAAAGAAAGTGTGGATGGAAGGAGAAAAACGAAAGGAAGGAGAGAGAGGGAAGGGAGGGGTGGAAAAAGGAATGAAAGAGGAAAAAGAAAGGAAGGGAGGGAAGGGGGAAGGAATTAACAAAAGGGAAGGAAGAAAGCATAGATTGAAGGAGAGAAAGGAAGGAGAGAGAGAGGGAAGGGAGGGATGGAAAAGAGGAAGAAAAGAGGAAAGGATGGGATGGAAAGGGAGAAAGAAGGGGAAGGAGGGTGAGAAGGAAGGGATGGAGGAAAGAGGGAGAGGAGGGAAGGAAGGAATCATGGATGGAAGGAGAAAAATGAAAGGAAGGAAAGAGGGAGGGAAGGGTGGAATGGAAGAAAGGAAAGAAAGGAAGGGATGGGAAGGGAGGGAGAAGGGGAAGGAGGGAGAGAAGGAAGGGAGGGAGGAGGGGAGGAGGGAGAGTAGAGAGGGAAGGAAGGAAGCATGAATGGAAGGAGAGGGGAAGGAAAGGGAGGGATGGAAGAAAGGAAGGAAGGAGGGAAAGAAGGACAGGGAAGGAAGGGAGAAGAGGAAGGAGGGAGGGTAGAGGGAAGGAAGTATAGATGGAAGGAGAGAAAGGAAAGGAAGGAGAGAGGGGGAACGGAGGGGATGGAAGGAGGGAAGGAAAGAGAGAAGGGAGGGAGGAAGGGGAAGAGGGAGAGAAGGAAGGGAGGAAGGAGAGGAGGAGAGAGGGGAAGGAAGGAAGCATGAATGGAAGGAGAGGGAGGGAGGAAAGAGAGGGATTTATTTATTTATTTATTTACTTCGCTTATATACCGCAGTTCTCAGCCCAGGGGCGACTCACTGCGGTGTACAACATAGCAAAAAACAAGGTGCAAAATATAAGACACAGTATAAAATAATCCACAATTCAACATTATCAGAAAACATCCTCATCAAAAACATCATCATTACTACAAAAGCCATTCCGTGTCGTCTCATCGCCAAAACCACAATCCAGTATCAATTTCCGTTGTTCATTCCTATGGTCAATTACCAATCATTGCACTTCTTGTTCAAACGCCTTCTTAAACAGCCAGGTCTTTAATTTCCTGCGGAATATCATCAGGGAGGGAGCTAGTCTGATGTCCACGGGAAGGGTGTTCCACAGCCGAGGAGCCACCACCGAGAAGGCCCTATCTCTCGTCCCCGCCAGGCGTGCCTGTGAGGCAGGCGGGATCGAGAGCAGGGCCTCCCCGGACGATCTCAAAGTCCTCGTGGGCTCATAGGCCGAGAGGCAGTCAGTTAGGTATCTTGGGGCGGAACCGTTTAGGGCTTTGTAGGCCAATGCCAGCACCTTGAATTGAGCCCGGTAGCAGATCGGCAGCCAGTGGAGCTGGTACAACAGGGGGGTTGTATGCTCCCTGCGTCCCCTCCTGTTAGTATCATGGCTGCCGCACGTTGGACCAGTTGGAGCTTCCGGGCCGTCTTCAAAGGCAACCCCACGTAGAGAGCGTTGCAGTAGTCTAAATGGGATGTAACCAGAGCGTGGACTACCGTGGCCAAGTCAGACTTCCCAAGGTACGGGCGCAGCTGGCGCACGAGCCTAAGCTGTGCAAATGCTCCCCTGGTCACCGCCGAGACCTGGGGCTCCAGGCTCAGCGATGAATCCAGGATCACACCCAAGCTGCGAACCTGCGCCTTCAAGGGGAGTGCGACCCCATCCAGCACAGGCTGTAACCCTATACCCTGTTCGGCCTTGCAACTGACCAGGAGGACCTCTGTCTTGTCAGGATTCAACTTCAGACACTGGATTGAACGAAGTAAGGAAGCATGGATGAAAGGAGAGAGGAAGGAAAGGGAGGGATGGAAGAAAGGAAGGAAGGAGGCAAAGAAGGAAAGGGAAGGAAGGGAGAAGGGGAAGGAGGGAGGGTAGAGGGAAGGAAGGAAGCATAGATGGAAGGAGAGAAAGGAAAGGAAGGAGAGAGGGGGAACGGAGGAGGTGGAAGAAAGGAAGGAAAGAAAAGGAAGGGAGGGAGAAGGGGGAGGGAGATGGGGATGGAAGAAAGGAGAGAAAGAGGAAAAGAAGGGAAGGAAGGGAGAAGGGAAGAAGGGAATGTAGAGAGGGAAGGAAGCATGGATTGAAGGAGAGAAAGGAAAGGAAGGAGAGAAAGAGGGGGAGGGAGGAAAGGGAAGGAAGGGGGTGAGGAAGGAATGAGAGAAGGGAGAAGGAAGGGAAGGAAGGAAGGAGAAAAGGAGAGAGAGGGGGAATGGAGGAAGATGTATATTTCCTCCTCAGTCTCCGCTGAGTCTCTCGGACCCCTAACCTAAAGGCCAGAGCATTCCTTTCTAAGCAGAGGGGAGCAGATAGATGTCAAGTGGGGTCCTTAGAGGCCCCAAGGTGTCTCAGGAACGGTTCTGGAAGTGGCAGTCCCCAAAGGCCCCTTTTCCTCATGCTAAGCAGCAAGGCCAGATCTTGTGCCCCTCCACCTCCAATCCCATCATCCTCTTCCTTCCTCCTTCTCTTTCCAAACAGGGAGGACACTCCAGAGGAGATAAGAAGCCCTGGCAAAGGCAAGAGGAAGGCTCACTGCTATCACCTCCCTCTTCCCATGGAGCAAATCCTGGTCTTATCTACCTGGGAAGCGCTGGAGGAACACAAGGAGTGCCTCCTAAAGGTAGGTCCCACCAAGTTGGGGTTTCTGCTTTGAGTTTGGGGGCCTTTTCTTGCTGAGCAAACAAAGAGAGCTTCCCCTCCCAAATGGGAACAGGGAGACGAAATTCCTGCCTGGCACAAGGGGGCTGGGTTGGATAGTCTTTAGAGCCCCTTCCAATCTATGTTTCTGCGAGATACTTATATCATATCCATGACTGGATGGCCATCTGTTTGGAGGGCTTGAATGGTGCCTTTCTAGTTGGCATAGACTGAAGGGCCTCTGAGGGGGGGCATCCTACGATGATCTTATGATATATCTATCATATATATGTGTGTTTACATATACACACATATACCAACTAGCTTGGGGATTTGGAAAAGGCATTTTTTATGGTCTTAGGACATATCAGTTTGGTAATTTGTTGCTTTATTTCTTAGAAAAAAGTCAGTCTTTGTGTTTGTTTTTTATGAATGCTCCCATTAGAAAATACATAACAATGGGGGTGAACTACAGCTTCCAAATATTGTGGGACAATCGCCCCAAACCCCACTAGTATTTAAAGTTGGCCATGTTGGGTCTGTGTGTCAAGATTAGTTGTCGGCTGAGTTCAGTGCTCTCTGGATACAGGGTGAACTATAAAAATATAATGTTCGTTTGTGCGATTAACATAACTCAAAAACCACTAGAGAAATTGACACCAAATTTGGACACAAGACACCTCTCAGGCCAACGAGTGACCATCACTCATAAAAACACTGAAAAACACAGCAGAAGAGACTTAAAAACAAAAAATTAAAAATAAATTACAACACATGCGCAAAACCACACACACACACACACATATATACATGCAAACACACATATACACATATATACAACACATATACACATATATACACACACAAAATACATAAACACAGACTGGGGCACAGCAACGTGTGGAAGGGGACGGCTAGTTGGTCATATTTTTGGCATTTCAGAGGTATTCCTTCTCCCTCTCTCTCTCTCTCTATTTTGATCATGTTTGGCATTTCAAAGGTATCCCCCCTATATATAATGTATTGATTAGGTTTAGCATTTCAAAGGCATTCTAATTATATTATAGATCAAAAATATGATCAAAGGGGCATTAGTGGCCAAGCCCTAATGAGAAAAAGGCTCCATACACTGCCCAATAATGGCCTTATTATTTGGAACGCATCTTATTTGGGCCCAGAATAATAATAATAATAATAATAATAATAATAATAATATTATTATTATTATTATTATTATTATTCCTGCATTTCTCCCAACACAAGAGCCATCTTACTCCTTCCCAAAATGACCTTTGGCATTATTATTTATCATCGCTCTACATTCTCTATTACTTCAGATCACTTTTCTATAGGATCTTTTTTTAAAAATCCATGTGTGTGTGTGTGTGTGTATGGTGACGCACACTGTATATCCATACAAATACTCAGTTCTCACCATTAGAAAAAGTATCACAGACGGGCACCATTGCAGCCTGAATGCCCCCCCCCCCAAACCCACCCCGCAATGACCCTCAAGCTTTCTTCTTCCTCAAGCCTCATCCGTTCTCCCATTCCTTCCAAGCACAGAAGCCCCCCGAAGCCCACCCTAAAAGAACTCTCATAATATAATAATATGTTTGTTGTTGTTCATTCGTTCAGTCGTCTCCGACTCTTCGTGACCTCATGGACCAGCTCACGCCAGAGCTCCCTGTCGGCCGTCACCACCCCCAGCTCCTTCAAGGTCAGTCCAGTCACTTCAAGGATGCCATCCATCCATCTTGCCCTTGGTCGGCCCCTCTTCCTTTTGCCTTCCACTTTCCCCAGCATAATTGTCTTCTCTAGGCTTTGCTGTCTCCTCATGATGTGGCCAAAGTACTTCAACTTTGTCTCTAGTATCCTTCCCTCCAGTGAGCAGTCGTGCTTTATTTCCTGGAGGATGGACTGGTTGGATCTTCTCGCAGTCCAAGGCACTCTCAGACATTATTATGTTATTATTTATATTAAGTTGTTATTATTTTATTATGTGTATATGATTATTATTTTATTTTATGTTAATGTTATGTTATGTTATGTTATTACTGATGTTATTGTTAGTATTATTTTATTATGTGTGTATATATATATATGTATGTTTGTATGTATGTGTGTGAATGTTATATAAATATAACATACTAGCTGTCCCCTGCCACACGTTGCTATGGCCCAGTCTGTTGATCTGGAAAATAAAGTAATGAGAAAGTGTTGGTTTCTAATATATGTAATGTTTTTCTGCCTGTGGGTAAACAGTATTTCTTGCTGTTTCTTTGTCAGTGTTGATGTGGAGAGTGTCTGGTTTGCCTACTCTGGAACATGTAACATATAATTGTCCTTCTTTAGGGGTCCCTTTCAAATCGATGATACTATATCTGTGTGTGTGTGAATCATATCTATCTATATCTATGGCTGGATGACTCTTTGTCAGGAAGGCTTTGATTACATTTTCTTGCCCTGGTGAAGGGAGTTGGACTGGATGGCCTTGAGTATTTTCTGTTGGTTATGGGGGTTCTGTGTGGGAAGTTTGGCCCAATTCTGTCGTTGGTGGGGTTCAGAATGCTCTTTGATTGTAGGTGAACTATAAATTGCAGTAACCACAACTCCCAAATATCAAGGTCTATTTCCCCCAAACTCCCATCTGTGTTCATTTTTGGGCATATGGAATATTCATGCCAAGTTTGGTCCAGATCCATCATTGTTTGAGTCCACGGTGCTCTCTGGATGTAGGTGAACTACAACCCCCAAACTCAAGGTCAATGCCCAACAAACCCTTCCAGTATTTTCTGTTGGTCATGGGAGTTCTGTGTGCCAGGTTTGGTTCAATTCCATCGTTGATGGAATTCAGAATGCTCTTTGATCGTAGGTGAACTATAAATCCCAGAACTACAATTCCCAAATGACAAAATCATATTTTTTGAGTGATGGTCACTCCTTGTGTTGTGAGACGTTTTGTTGCCAAATTTGGTGTGATTTTGTTCATTGGTTCTTTTGTTTTTAAGGTACTCATTATGCACAGAGCATTTTAATATATATAGATATACATACATACATACACATGTAGTAGTTTTGGATGGCCCTTGGGGACCCTTCTGTGGTTTTGTGATGGCAAGCCTCCCCCCTTCTGCCACAGGCCGGCCAGATCGTGGGGCTGGACATGGAGTGGCGCCCCTCCTTCGGGAGCGTGGGGGCCAAGCCCCGCATCTCCCTGGTCCAGCTGGCCATCCCTGGCCGTGTCTTCCTGTTGGACATGTTGGCCCTTCTTCAGCCAGGAGGGGCCCAGGAAGAGGAAGAAGCCCTCACCCAGTTCTTCCGGGAGATCTTTGCAAATCCCAACATCATCAAGCTGGGTAAGAGTTCCCTGCCCAATGGGAGTTGTAGTCCAAGGGATCTGAGAATGGAGGGGTGTTGAACTCCAAGGCTGGGAAGCACCTCTGCACTTAACACTCGCATCAGTCCAAAGTAAAATAGCAAGCAGTTTATTTGACATATATATAAGAACTGATACAGACTTCCTTGCTAAGAAGCGATCTGGCCTTCGGACTTTCTCATTTGAAACTCTTATGTGGACGAAACATAAATCTTCGATCAAACTGTCCATTAGTCTATCCACCTGGACTTCCACTCTGTCTGAAGGCCACATTCTTGAAATGTGGCCTTCAGACAGAGACCGCACATTTTTAGTCTCTAGCCGCTCCTGCTGACTTGCAGACCCAGAATCCCTTGTGTCAACAGGCAGACTAACAGGCTCAAAATCCCCAGAGAACAAGTTCAGGCAGAATCAAAGGCTGAACTACAACAAGGGGCCATTTTGGGGTCTTGGGTCCAGAGAATGGGGAGTAGCCTTGGAGGAGATGGACGTCGGGCTCCAAAGACATTGAGGGCCCCAGCTCCTTCCTTTCTTTCTGTCTGCAGGTTATGGGATGCAGGGTGACTTTTCCCAGCTGGGGAAGATCCTACCCACCTTCCAAGCTATGGAGAAGCAGCTGTGCAGCTTCCTGGACCTGCTGGTGATCCAGAAAGAGATCCGGAAGGTAAGCCAATCAGGAGTGGCCCCCAATGGCTCCTAAAAGGGAGGCTGCTGCCATTGTATATCTAAATTGTAATGTTCTTGTTTGTTTTATTCATCTGTTTATGTTTCATTGGCACTGAATATTTGCCAATCATTTTTTGTTGTAAACTGCCCTGAGTTCCCTCGGTGAGGATCAAAATAATTTATTATTATTTTACTGACACAAAAACACAGTATGTCACAGCAAATGAGATCTCTATGCTGGATTTTGTATCACAAAATTATTATTGTTATTATTATTATTATTTTAAACAGAGGCTGGATGGCCATTTGTCAGGGGTGATTTGAATGCAATATTCCTGCTTCTTGGCAGGGGGTTGGACTGGATGGCCCATGAGGTCTCTTCCAACTCTTTGATTCTATGATTCTATGATTCTATTATTGACACAAAAGCACAGTATGTCACAACATATGAGATCTATATGCTGGATTTCATATCACAAAATCACACCATGTTTAAACTATTGACTGGCACCATAGCTGACAGAATTCAAGACTATCTTGAAGATAATAACATCTTGCCAGATGAACAGAAAGGCAAAAAATGGAAAAGCAGGGGCACAAAAGACGAGTTATTAATTGACAAAATGATCCTGGAGAACTGCAAAAGCCGAAAAACCAATCTTCACATGACGTGGATTGACTACAAAAAAGCCTTTGACTCACTCCCACACAGTTGGATCATCAAGTGCCTAGACACCATCGGGATTTGTAAAAACGTTAGCACTTTTATTGTTGTTATTGTTGTTGTTGTTGTTGTTGTTGTTATTATTATTATTATTATTATTATTATTATTTGAAACACAACAAGATGAGTCCACAACAGACACTCTGCTGGCTGTTGTATTGGATCCCAAGTGTCTAGGACTGTGTGATGTATCAGCGAATAATGTGTGCAGATCCCAGTAAGGCAGGGCTTTTGAACATGTTCACGGCGCTCGCTATAACCTGCAGTGTCATTGGAGGAAGGGCCTTTGGTGTCTCCTGAGTAGTGGGAGCTATAGCTGTTTGTGGAGGGGGGATTATTATTTATATTATGTTATTATTACTATTATTATGTTAATGTTGTATTATTATGTTATTATTTATATTATGTTTTTACCATTATTATGTTAATGTTATGTTATTATTTATATTATGTTATTATTACTATTATTATGTTAATGTTATATTATGTTATTATTTATGTTATGTTTTTATTATTATTATGTTAATGTTTTGTTATTATTTATATATGTTATAATTACTATTATGATGTTAATGTTATGTTACTATATTATTTATATTATGTTATTACTATTATTATGTTAATGTTATATTATTATGTTATTATTTATATTATGTATTTACTATTATTATGTTAATGCTATGTTATTGTTATTATTTATATTATGTTTTACTATTATTATGTTAATTTTATATTATTATGTTATTATTTATTTTATGTTATAATTGCTATTGTTATGTTAATGTTATGTTACTATATTATTATTTATATTATGTTTTTACTATTATTATGTTAATGATATGTTATTATGTTATTATTTATATTATGTTATTATTACTATTATGTCAATGTTATATTATTGTTATTTATCTTATAATTACTATTATCATGTTAATGTTATGTTATTATTTATTTTATGTTTTAATTACTATTATTGTGTTGATGTTATGTTACTATGTTATTATTACTATTATGTTAATGTTATGGTACTATATTATTATTTATATTATGTTTTTACTATTAATATGTTAATGTTATGTTATTATTTATATTAAGTTATTATTACTATTGTGTGTATATATAGAACATATATATACACACATACACATGCCTCATACACACATACGTATTTTCACTTTGATTATGTATGTAGATTAATATTGTTTGCCTCTTCGACGTCCTCCTCCCAGGACTCCCCTGGTGACTTGCAGAAGGTGGATTCTGGGCCAAAGGCCAGAGGTCGCAGGGCGCGTGGCCTGGCGGAGCGTGGCCTGAGCCTGCTGGTGCAGGAGGTCCTGGGCCGTCCGCTGGACAAAGCAGAGCAGCTCTCCAACTGGGAGAAGAGACCCCTCCGGGAGGAGCAGCTCCTCTACGCAGGTCTGGGGTTCGGGATCAGGATCAGGACCGGATCCTGGGCAGGGAACCCCCTTTCTGCTGCAAGGAAGGAGCGCTGAGGCCTTCTCCTCCCTTCTCCTTTCTTCAGCCTCGGATGCCTACTGCTTGCTGGAGGTTTATGCCAAATTGCTCAAGGACCCTTCCTCTTTTGGACTGAGTCCCGAGACGTTGGCCTTACTAATAATGAGAACAGAAAATGCGGAGGTTAAGGAGTCCGGCGGTCAGCTAGACGTCGCAGAGGGCTCTCCTCAACAGGAGGGGAAGGAGGTGTGTATAATCGGGGTCCCGTTTGAAAAGAGCCCGTCGGCTGTCTTTGCCTCGTCCCCCAATGGCCTCTTCCCCTTTTGCAGGATTCGAACCCCAGCTCCATGGGCACTCCGTCCATCTCAACGCCGGCAGTCACTCCGGCCCAGGACTTCCGCGTGGTCTGCGACAACATGCTCCAAGGCCTGGGCCGCCACTTGCGCTGCCTCGGAGTGGACGTCCGGATTTTGGAGAATGCCGACGACCACCGGAAAGCGGCTGAGGTGGGCCTTTGTCCAGTCCGGATAGGGTTTGCGGGTCAAGAGCCTTGCTCAGGACATGCCTTGTCTCAGTCAGGGTTATTGTGTAGGAAGGGACCCCCAAGGACCACTCAGTCCAGTCCCCTTCTGCCAGGTGGGACACCACACAAGCCCTCCTAGCAGATGTCCATCCAGTCCTAGATAGATATGATTGAGAAAGATACAGATGATAGATATATTATAGAATACTAGAGTTGGAAAGGGACCCCAAGAGCCATCCAGTCCTTTTGCCAGGCAGGATACCACGCAAGCCCTCCCAGCAGATGGCCATCCAGTCATAGATAGTTATGATTGAGAAAGATACATATGATAGCAATAGATATTATCAAATCCGAGAGTTGGAAGGGACCCCAAGGGCCATCCAGTCCAACCTCCTTCAGCCAGACAGGAGAACACAATCTAATCAGTTCCACCAGATGACCATCCAACTTCATAGACATTAGCAGGTTCATGGAAAAATAAGGCTCTAGGATCAAAGAATCCAAGAGTTGGAAGGGACCCCAAGGACCACCCAGTCCAACCACCTTCAGTCATGCAGGATACCTTTCAATCCCTCCCAACAGATGGCCATCTAGTCATAGATAGATATGATTGAAAAAGATACATATTTTATTTATTTATTTACAGTATTTATATACCGCTTTTCTCACCCCTAGGGGGACATATGATAGATATATCATAGAATCCTAGGGTTGGACGGAACCCCAAGGGCCATCCAGTCCAACCACCTTCAGCCATGCAGGACATCTTTCAATCCCTCCCAACAGATGACCATCCAGTCATAGATAGATCTGAGTGAGAAAGATACATATGATAGTTATATCATAGAATCTGAGAGATGGAAGAGCCCCCAAGGGCCATCCAATCCAACTCCCTTTGGCCAGGCAGGACACCATTCAAGCCCTCCCGACAGATGGCCATCTAGTCATAGAGAGAGGTGAAATAGATAGATATGATTGAGAAAGCTAGAATCCTAGAGTTTGAAGGGACCTCAAGGGCCATCCAGTCCATCCCCCTTTGGCCAGGCTGGGGTACACAATCTAATTCTTCCCACCAGATGACCATCCAGCCTCATAGACATTAGCAGGTTCATGGAGAAATAGGGCTATAGGAGCAAAGAATCCAAGAGTTGGAAGGGACCCCAAAGGCCCTTCTGCAAAATAATAATAATAATTTAAAAAATACACAATCCAAGCCCTCTCAACAGATGACCATCCAGCCTCTGACTAAAAGAGAAGCCTCCAGAGAAGGAGGCTCCAATGGACTCCAAGTGGAATCTGTTTCCCTGCAGGTTGATTCCACTACTTTCCTGGCTCCTCCATCCTTTGTGTTTCTCCCTTTTTGATGCTTTTCAGGGGTTTTTTGTGAGCAGAGGTTTTGGCTCACAGTTTCCATGGAGACGCCATTGGGCTACCCAAAACAGTGCTCCATGCTTGGATGGTCAAAGATAATGAGGGCAGGGGTCCCCTTTCCCTTCCCCTCTCTCTCCCTTCACTCGCATTGAAACTCTAGGGCTGGATCTGTGCCATTGGGTTCCATGCAATTGGGGTTTTCCTGGTAAGATTTTGGGGTTTTTTTTAAATCTTAGAGTAAGAAGAGACCCCCAATGACCATTCAGTCCAATCCCCTCCTGTCATGAAAGGAAGATACAATCCAAGCCCTCCCAACAGATGCCCTTCCAAGCATAAATGGTCATTAATATGATTCATTGATTGAGAAATGACTGAAATACATAAATATACTAGTCTTGCCTAGGATATTTGAAAAAAAAAATAATTTTGTTCATTGTACAAAATGCATAAGGTTGTGGGTGAACTACAACTCACATCATGCAGGTTAACCCCCTGAAGCGCCATCAGTACTTAAAGTTTGTTATGTTGGGCAAGTTTGCTCTAGATGCATCATTGGTGGGGTCAGTGTGCTCTCTGGCCGTTGGATAGACTATAACTCCCACTATAAGTCAGTCCCCTTAAACCCCTCCAGTAGGTTGAGTTAGTCATGTGTGCCAAGTTTGGTCCAGGTCCATCATCGGTGGAGGTCATGGTTTCCCTGATTGTGGCTGAACTTCAACTCCCAGAAAGGAAGGTCTGTTCCCCCCAAATACCTCCAGTAATCACATCTCAGCATATCAGGTATGTGTGCCTAGTTTGGTCCAGATCCATCTCTGTTTGGGTTCACAGTTCTCTCTGGATGTAGGTGAACTACAACTCCCCCAAATCAAGGGGAATTTTCCCCAAAGACCTCCAGTATTTTTTCTTGGTCATGGGAGTTCTGTGTGCCAAGTCCATCATTGGTGGAGTTCAGAGTGCTTTGCAGGTGAACTATAAATCCCAGTACCTTCAACTCCAAAATGTCCAGGCTAATTCTCCTCAAACCCCATCAGTATTCAAATTGGGAATATTGGGTATGCATGCCAAGTTTGGTCCAGATCCCTCATTGTTTGGGTTCATAGCACGCTCTGGATGTGGGTGAACTACAACTCCTCTAAATCCCTCCAAACACCTTCAGTATGTTTTGTTGGTCACGGTGGTTCTGTGTGCCAAGTTAGTTCCAGGTCCTTCGTTGGTGGAGTTCAAAGTGTTCTTAGATCGCAGGTGAACTATACATCCCAGGACCTAGGACTTCTATAAATCATGGTGAATTCTCCCCAAACCTCTCTAGTATGTTCAGTTGCTGATCAATCCCTCTGCTTGCTGTGTGCCATAGAAAAGAATAGGGAAAGATTAAGGGAGAGGCAATGGGCGGGGTCATGCAAATTCCACACCAATTGAGAGAGTAAGAAACACTGGGATGCCTGTGGTGGAGGAAACACATAAAATATAGGATGAAATTGTCCCCATATGAAAGCCTTCACTTGGGTGGTATTTGTGGAGGACATTAGCAGGGCTCTTGGACATGTTTACGGCGCTCACTATAATCTGAAATGTCACTGGAGTCAATGCCTTTGGTGTCTCCTGAGTAGTGGGAGCTATAGATGTTTGTGGAAGTGGGAGCTTGGCTATGTAAGTGGACACCACAGCCACATACACACATATCTATCTATATGTGTATAGATAGGTAGAGGATGGATAATATCTAGAATCCTAGAGTTTGAAAGGACCTCTAAAGGCCATCTGCCAAGAAAGTCACTATATGATCCCTCCCGACAGATGGCCATCTGGCCTCTCATAGATTTCTAAAGTGGGAAGTGATCTCTTGGGGGTCAGAAAGGACAGGGTTTGGTACTTTCTAAAGCAACTTCCTTTTCTCCTCTTTCCTCCCAGATCGCCCGGCAAGAGGGGCGCGTCATCTTAACCTCAGGGCTTCCCTACCAGACGGTGAGTAGGCCCATCTAGGGAAGTAATGCTACCCCTCTATTCTGCCTTGGTTAGACCACACCTGGAATATTGTGTCCAATTCTGGGCACCAAAATTGAAGAAAGATATTGACAAGCTGGAATGTGTCCAGAGGAGGGCGACTAAAATGATCAAGGGTCTGGAGAACAAGCCCTATGAGGAATGGCTTAGGAGCTGGGCATGTTTAGCCTGAAGAAGAGAAGGCTGAGAGGAGATATGATAGCCATGTATAAATATGTGAGAGGAAGTCACAGGGAGGAGGGAGCAAGCTTGTTTTCTGCTTCCCTGGAGACTAGGACACAATGGAACAATGGCTTCAAACTACGAGAAAGGAGATTCCATCTGAACATGAGGAAGAACTTCCTGACTGTGAGAGCCATTCAGCAGTGGAACTCTCTGCGCCGGAGTGTGGTGGAGGCTTCTTCTTTGGAGGCTTTTAAACAGAAGCTGGATGGCCATCTGTCAGGGGTGATTTGAATGCAATATTCCTGCTTCTTGGCAGGGGGTTGGACTGGATGGCCCATGAGGTCTCTTCCAACTCTTTGATTCTATGATTCTATTACCTTTTTGGTGGGGTCCATAAAATGTTTGGTAGGGTTTGAATGGTGCCTTCCTGAATGGCAAATTGGGGTTGGGCTGGATGGCCTTTGAAGACTGGAATTCTAGCCGTCCCCTGCTACATGTTGCTGTGGCCCAGTCTGGTGATCTGGAAAATAAAGTAATGAGAACGTGTTGGTTTCTAATATATGTGATTTCTTTATGTGTGTAAACAGTATTTCTTGCTGTTCCCGTGTTGATGTGGAGATTGTCTGGCTTGCCTACTCTGGAACATGCAACATATCATTGTCCTTCTTTAGGGGTCCCTTTCTAATCTATGATACTATATGTGTGTGTAGGTGAATCATATCTATCTATCTTTATCTATGGCTGGATGGCTCTTTGTCAGGAGGGCTTTGATGACTTTTCCCACCCCTAAAATGGCTAAATCCCAGGGTTCCTCCCTTTCGGGCTCCTCCCCTACAAATGCACTTTTATCCCTATCTCACTCAGGATTTTAACTTTTTAACTGATGGTCACTCGTTGGCCTGATAGTTGTGTTGTGTCCAAATTTGGTGTCAATTCCCCCAGTGGTTTTTGAGTTCTGTTCATCCCACAAACGAACATTACATTTTTATTTACATAGATATATATCTGTCATAGCTATGGCTGGGAGGCCATCTATTAGGAGGGTTTGGAGACCATCTATTAGGAGGCCATCTATTAGGAGAGTTTAGATGGTTCCTTCCTGAATTGCAAATTGAGTTTGGACTAGATGGCCTTTAGGGCCCCTTTGAACACTGGAATTCTATATCTATCACACACACACACACATATTTATTTATTTATTTACTTTGCTTATATACCGCTGTATCTCAAGCCCGAAGGCGACTCACAGCGGTTCACAAACAGTAGAAACAGTAGAAACAGCAGTGGTTCCATACAACATATAACAATTGACTTAACACATTATCCATAAATTACCAATAAGCAATTACAATGCACAATTATTACAAAAAACAACCGTACCCAATCTTCTCATCATCCAAGCGTAGTCCAGATTCGTCGTCCATTGTTCCATTCCTATGTTCCATTACCAGATTGTACTAAATTACTCAAACGCCTGCACAAACATCATAGCAATGGCTGAATGGCCATCTGTTGGGAGGGTTTGGATGGCGCCTTCCTGCATGGCAAATTGACTGGAATTCTCTCTCTCTCACACACACACACACACACACACATATATATCTATGGCTGGATGAGGGTTTGGATGGTGCCTTCTTGCATGGGAAATTGGGTTTGGACTGGTTGGCCTTTTGGGGTCCCTTCCAACTCTAGGATTCTATGATCCTCCCCTGGAAGTCTTTAAGTAGAGGCTGGGTAGGCATCTGCTGGGAGGGTTTGGATGGTGTCTTTCTTCGTGGCAGAAGGGGGTTGGACTGGGTGGCCTCCGAGGGTGCCTGGCAGCTCTATGATGCCTCCCTCAATCACATCTCTTTCTATTCTCTATCTCCCTCTCTGCCTCCGCAGCTGAGGTCCCAGGTGGGAGAGGGCCGCTGCTTCCGAGTGGACTGTGCCCAGAAGGCCAAGGAGCAGGCCTTGAAGGTGCTGGAGCACTTCCGGGTCCAGGTGACCCTCGCTGACATCTTCAGCCGGTGCCAGGTAGGACCCCTCCTCCTCCTTCTCTCCCTGTCTCTTGGGGGAGGCATGCGCTTCGTTGAGGCTGCCTTTGCCTTCGGACCCTTCCGTGGGGCAAATCTGGTTCACTCCAGTGTTTTTCAATTATGGAGTTGACTCCAATGGAGTCCCTCCTTCCATCCCTTAGATTAGTCTCATAGTAAGCAAACACTTTGCCTGTGCTTATTGGGATCCCATGGGATGTTTGGGAGGGGGGCGGATTTAGGCGTTGTGCCGTCATCTGGGGGTCTCTTCCTTGATTCTCTTCTTATGGGATTAATTTAAGATTTCTCTCCTCCTAGCAACACCTCTAATAAAGGACTGGGCAAATAATAATAACAACAAAAGTAATAATAATGCACACATTCTGCGAAAATGCCTCTAACATCCTAGGCCCTTGGGAAGAGCCCAATATTCAGAGATGAATCCCACACATTTGGACCTAATATGCATGTGTGCTGTGTTGTTATAAACAAATAAATCAACAACAACAACAACAATAATAATATGCCCAGTCCATAATAATAATAATACACATTATTGTTATTATTATTTGCCCAGTCCATAATAGTAATGATAATAATACATATTGTTATTATTATTTGCCCAGTCCATAACAATAATCATCATCATAATTTGAGCAGTCCATAATAATAATGATAATATATATATATTGTTGTTGTTATTATTATCCCATTATTATTATTATTTCTGCAGTCCATAATAGTAATTTTTTTTTTGTCGTGTCAGGAGCGACTTGAGAAACTGCAAGTTGCTCCTGTTGTGAGAGAATTGGCCGTCTGCAAGGACATGGCCCAGGGGACGCCCGGATGATTTGATGTTTTTATCATCCTTGTGGGAGGCTTCTCTTGTGTTCCCATATGAGGAGCTGGAGCTGATAGAGGGAGCTCATCCGCCTCTCCCCGGATTCGAACCTGCGACCTGTTGGTCTTCAGTCCTGCTGGCACAAGGGTTTAACCCACTGCGCCACCGGGGGCTCCCATAATAGTAATGATAATAGTAATGATAATGATAATAATATATTTTATGGTTATCATTATTATTATTTTCCCAGTCCATTATTATTATTATTATTATTATTATTATTATTATTATTATTATTTGCACACTCCATAATAATAATGATGATAATAACAATAATAAGTATTGTTATTATTATTTGTCAATTCCATAATAATCATCATCATCATTATCATCATCATAATTTGCACAGTCCATAATATATATATATATATATATATATATATATATAATTGTTTTTATTATTATTATTTGCCCAGTCCATAATCATCACCATCATCATAATTCACCTAGTCCAAAATAATAATGATAATAATATATTATTGTTAGTAATATTTGCCCATTCCATAATAATCATAATCATAACCATATGCACAGTCATAATGATAATTTGCTCAATCCATACTACTACTACTACTACTACTAATAATAATAATTTATGCAGTCAATAATAATAATATGCTTAGTCCTCCATAGTCGTTGTCATAACAATAATAATAATAATAACAACAACAAACAAACAAATCATTATTATTATCATTATTATTCCATTTCTGAGACACAAAGCCACTGGCAGCCTTAAAGGGACAGCGTCAAAGCCTTTAGGGATCCCTTCATCATCGCTCATCTCTCTCTCTCTCATTCTCTTTCTCTCTCTGTGGCTTGTGGCTGTGAAGGTTTGTCATGTGAAAAGGCAACGCAAGCAAAGAGAGACGTAGAGCGGAGGGGCCTTTGGGAACAAATAGCAGCCCTCCCTGCCTTCCCTCCCTCCCTTTGCTGGGGGCGACGGCCTTTGAAGTCGGCCTGGGAACCTCTACCAATATCGGTCCCGTTGTGACGAAGAGGGATCCCGCAAGCCGTTGTCGTAGTTGCCACTGCCGCTTGGGTTGCGGGGCGGAGGGGAAATGGGCCTTTTCATGTGGGCTCTGTGGAAGGGGTGGGAACCCCCATCCACCTTGGTTCCCACTGGCTTCTCAGGATGTGGGGCCCTTTGGTCCCTGAGGTCTTGCCCTCTCTGCCCATCTCTCCAAAAGCAGCTCTCTCAAAGCAAGGGAACGCTTTCGGGGAGGACCTTCCAGCAAAAACTGCCTTGAATACTGCCTTTTAAACAGAGACTGGATGACCATCTGTTGGGAGGGCTTGGATGGTGCTAATTGTATAAAATGCATAAGGTTGGGGGTGAATTACAACTCCCATCATGCCAGGTTAACTCCGAAAAACCCTATCAGTACTTTATAAAGTTTGTTATGTTGGGTAAGTTTGCTCTGGATGCATAATTGGTGAGGTTCTCTGGCTGTAGGGTGAACTACAACTCCCACTATGGCAAGTTAGTCCCCTCAAACCCCTCCTGTGGGTTGCGTTAGCCATGGGGGTTCTATGTGCCAAGTTTGGTCCAGGTCCATCATCGGTGGAGATCACTATTTCTTTGGTTGTGGGTGAACTACAACTCCCAGAAAGGAAGGTCAATTCCCTCCAAACCTCTCCAGGAATCAAGTTTCGGCATATCAGGTTTGTGTTCCAATTTTGGTCCAAATCCATGGGTGTTTGGGTTCACAGTGCTCTCTGGACGTAGGTGAACTACAACTCCCCCAAATCAAGGTGAATATTCTCCAAAGTCCTCCAGTATTTTTTGTTGGTTATGGGGACTCTGTATGCCAAGTGAGTTCCAGGTCCATCTTTGGTGGGGTTAAGAGTCCCCTTAGATTGCAGGTGAACTATACATCCCAAGACCTACAACTCCTATAAATCTTGGCGAATTCTCCCCAACCTTCTCTAGTATGTTTAATTGTTGATCAATTCCTCTGTTTGTTGTTTACCATAGAAAATAATAGGAAAGGGTTAAAGGAGAGGCAGTGGGCGGGATTATGCAAATTCCACACCAAAGGAGAGAGTCAGAAACACTGTGATGCCTGTGGTGGAGGAAAAAAAAAACATAAAATCTAGGATGAAATTGTACCCATATGAAAGCGCGCGCAACCTCTGAGAATGCCTACCTGTGGGTGAAACGTCAAGAGAGAATACTTCTGGAACATGGCCAGACAGCCCGGAAAACTCACAGTAATCCAATATAAATAAAGTTTTATTATTGTTGTTGTTACTATTATTGTTATTATTTGAAACACAACAAGATGAGTACACAAGATCACTCTGCTGGCTGTTCTATTGGATCACACATCGGACACTATTATTATTATTATTATTATTATTATTATTATTATTATTATTATTATTATTATTTGATATACAACAAGATGAGTACGCAGTACCCAGTGTGCCAATCACTACTGGGACCACCTTGACTGGCTTGTGTCAGAGTCTTTGAAGTGCGATCGCTAAATCCTTGTATCGTGACAGCTTTCTTCTTCTTCTTCTTCTTCTTCTTCTTCTTCTTCTTGTTCTTCTTCTCATTATTATTATTATTATTATTATTATTATTATTATTATTATATGAAACATAGCAAGATGAGTACATAGCAAACAAGACCACTTTGCTGGCTGTTGTATTGGATCACACATCGGACACTTCCCAAGTGTCTAGGACTGTGTGATGTATCGGCGAATAATGCGTGCAGATCCCATTAAGGTGGCCTTCTGCAGCTGGCAGATGGTAATCTTGTCAGCACCGATTGTGTTTAAGTGCAGGCCAAGGTCTTGAGGCAATGCACCCGGTGTGCCGATCACCACTGGGACCACCTTGATTGGCTTGTGCCAGAGCCTTTGCAATTCGATCTCTCCTTGTATCGTGTCAGCTTTTCCAGTTGTTTCTCTTTAATCCTGCTGTCACCTAAGATTGCAACATCGACGGTCCATACTTGGTTTTTCAACACAATCTTGAGGTCAGGAGTCTTGTGCTCCAAAACTCTGTCAGTCTGAATTTGGGAGTCCCAGAGTAACTTTTTCAGGCTTGTAATCCCACCAGTTGTCGCAGGTAGATGGTATTTGTGGCCCAAGATGCAATGAATCACCTGAGCAATGGTGTTGTGCCTCTGCTTGTAGTCTGTCTGCTCGATCTTCTTGCAGCTGCTGAGGATGTGACCGATTGTTTCATTATTGCTATTTCAGCAGCTCAGAATGTGATCTGTTGTTGTTGTTGTTGTTATTATTCTTATTATTGTGTCTCCCTGCCTGGTAGAAGGGGGTTGGACTGGATGACCTTTGGGGACCCCTTCCAACTCTAGGAGCCTATGACTTAATGGCTGAGAATGGAGCACCTGCCCCACTCCCCATTGGCTTCCTTGTCCCAGGGAGGGTCCCTCTCCTGCCCCACTGACCTTTCCGGTGGGCCTTTCCATTTGAGGGGAGCTCCAGACCCGAACCAGAAGGAGGAAAGGGGGGGGGGCAAGGGGATGGGGGTCTCTTGGCTGCCATTGGCTGGCCCTGGGCCGGCTTCTAGCCCGCCTTTGAAGCGGCTGCCTCGTCCCTTCCTTGCCGGCGGTTCCCACAGACTGTGAATTTTTCCCTGCCAAGATCACAATATCTTCAGAAATCCAGCGGAGCATGAAGGTCAGGACAAGGGAAGAATGACAGCCGGGGGCCCCCTTCCTCCCGCCCACCCTCCCTCCACTGTTTTGGCCAACAAGGGCCCCATAGAACCCTCCATCCCTCCCTCTCTTCTTTCTTTCTTTCTTTCTTTCTTTCTTTCTTTCTTCTTCTTTTTTTTTTTTTTTCTTTCTCTTTCTTTCTTTCTTTTCCCTCTACCTTTCCACTTTCCCTTCCTCTGGTCACCAAGCGTTTGACATGTGTGCAGTTAGCTATTTTGAACTAGGGATGAAAATAAAAGTTATTATTATTATATTATATTATTATTATTATATTTTAATCTGACATGATATGGGATTTAAAGATCGAACTGCAAAGACTCTGGAGCAAGCCAGTCAAGGTGGTCCCAGTGGTGATCGGCACACTGGGTGCAGTGCCTAAGACCTTGGCCTGCACTTAAACAC